CGCAAATTTGCCAGAAGTGACGAGCGAAAGAGACATGCAAAGGTTCACCTGAAACAGAAGGACAAGAAGCCAGCTGACAAGAGCAGTGGGGCAGCTGGGAGCCACAGCTCGCCACCCAGCTCCTGTGGGGGGCCAACAGTGGGATCGTCATGACCGTCACTACGTGCACTTGGACTGGACCCTCACCATGCCCCATAAAGAGACTTAGGAAGAAGGGATCACGTCCGCAATGAGATAAATAGGTGACTCTTTTCCTCTCTTTTACACCCCCTGCTCTTTTCACATCCTTCTATTTTGAGATGGATGCCTTTAGTTTAAGTAAGAGGGAAGAGGCTGCTACGCCCTTCTCTTTCAAGTAACTCAGAGCCTCAGCTACTGTAACACAGTGCCAACACAAAGAAGGGCACCTTGGTACATTCTGTCCAAAAGGCCACTGTGTATCTATAGGTTTTGGGGTGGATACACTTTTGTAAATTTTACTGAGAATTTCTTAATTGGATGGAAGCCAGAATCCATCATAAGGGTCAAAACAGACAAAAATTACAACGGAGTTTAGTTAAAGAGTGAGTTGTCTGGGATGTATGCATTAATTTTGTTAGGGTGTTTAAAAGTGCAATTGGTTATGTTTGTGTTCTGTCATGGATACCTTATTAGTGGCACTTGACTGTCTTTTTGTTGTTTTTGTTAAAGTGTTGTGTTTTTATTTTTTATTTGAATGTTGTTTTCTCAAAAGAATGTGCCAAATGTATTGTGGTGATACAGCCAACCTTGTTCTTATTATTGTGCCTGACATTTACCAAACATAACAGTGATATCAGCTTAGCACACATGTAGAGTTATCAGATTCAAACACCGTATCTCAGATTTAGATTTACCTGCACAGTTTGGTTAAATCTAGAAAACGACTGAATGGGTTACACAAAGCAAACCGATGTCTTGTCCTGTTACCTGTACTTATAAAACAAACACGCCTGCATCAAATCACTGCCTTTGCCAATACTTATTTATTTGTAGTCACTGAGAAGACACTGTGTTTTTGTTGCCTTGTTTATATGGTGGCTTTATGTGGTGTTACCAGATATAATTGGTGTTGCTTTTTTTGAAAAGCTCACCAATACTGTTCATTTTTTTCAGTTTTCTTGAGTTCTGCAATTATATGCAATACATTCATGACATATGCCACCAACCCATAAATCAAATTAACTAAGAGCACAGTTAGACAGACTGAACTACTTAAATAAATGACACTGGGTTGCAAACCAGCAGTATATAAAAGCAAAGATAAATAAGGATTCACAGCGTAAAAAGGCTTAACTATTTGGTTTATGTCACCAAAAGATGAGCACCGTATGGTAAGAGAAAAATTAAAATGTTCAAATCCATGTTTACATCTTTTCTAATACAGAGAGACTGAGACTGAGTTGTAAACTAAGGAGTTGTTGTTTTTGTACAGTATGCAGGTAGCTACAGTAGTTTCACTTTTGTACTCAAATGCACCATTACTTAGTATTAAATTGTGCATATACAGTATGTGCATGCCTTCATGCACACTATGTAAATACAAATGTCTGCATAAACAATTGACTGAATGCTTGTGCGGAATGTGTCTTAAAGCTTTTAGTAATGTAGTTATAATACAGAATATTTTGTTGTGATAGATCATTGCAAAACATTTTGGAGCACAACAATAGTGCCAAATATGGTGTATTATCTTCCATAAAAGAAAAAAGACTAATAGCATTTGCACCATCTGTACGCTTTAAAATGGTAACTGGTTTAAGGAAGCACTAATGTGTTCTCTGAATAAACAACAAGATTTTTTTACATTTTGTGTATCTCCATTATAGTCGCAATCAGCTATTTCAATTAACACATCTTCCTCATTGTATAGAAAACAATGTTTTTCTCAGAAAGATAGGAGACTAAATGATTGGATCCTTTCTTAAATGAAATATATTACAGGGCAATGCCAGTATTTTTCACGTGTGGTTCCTTATTGATCTTTGTCCTGACAGAAGGAAATACCTCTTTTGTCATTCAATGAAACATTTTGTGTAGGCTCATCTATTCCATTAGCTTCTATGGGATCTTAAAAGTGTATGATAACAACACTGACAAATGCACAACAGTGACCACATTTGAAAAACGTACTGACGCCAGTGTAATTGCATTTTCTTAGAAATGTTTTGTTTTTAAACTTATCTCTGTAATGCAGGACATTATGCATTATGGCCCTGTGGCACAAAAGAAAAAAAGTCATAACTGAGATACTAATATGACATTTTCATCATTTACAGTGAATTTATTACATAAAGAAAAGTAAAGAAATAACAAATAAAAATGGCGACAACTGACAAATCGGGAATAAATATTACTGCAGGTATTTTCTTCTGTGATGGCTCGTATAAAAGCCAAAGTCAAAAATATTGGTACTGTTTTAGCAAAGAAATCAATCAATTGTATTCTATATATTATGTGAGAAATAAGAACCATGCCCGTGTGCTAAAATAGTTTCTGATTTTATCCTGTAAGTTTAATGCTCAAATGCCTCCTTCTTTTAAAAAAAACATTATTATCTACTTTGACAATATTTTTGGTCATTGGCTGTGCTCTCTGACTGTTAGGGAGTGTGGGCTGGATGGGTGGCAGAGAAGTAGTGTTACATTGTTATAAGCTGAGAAAAGAAATATTGCGATGGTCAGTAGACACAGCAATCAGAGTTCAACTGACAAATGCCAAGACCAAAAGAAAGGTTCAAAAAAGCAGTGCCAATGAGAACACTGTGCATGCAGAAATGGGCTTCCAAGGCCATGCTTTCCCTTTCCTGTAACAATCAGTTTTCACTGCTGAGCTTCCTGGCAAGTGTCCACTTATTTTCCAATTAATCTGGCCTCAGAGAGTCTTTTCTGAACTCATCTACATGGTTAAATGAACAGACCTCCTTGCACTTTTTCAGATAGTTTAAAAGTTCATACACCCTGCGACATCTAACTGTAAATCAATAGTTTTGTATCCTAAAAATATTTTATTGCATGGATGGGCATTGACAAATGAAACTTTTCTGAGGCTATCCGAATAGAATGCAACTGAAATGAAAATCACAACTTAACTGAAAATGTTACTTTTTACACATTACATTTCACAGTATTCCTTATTTCTGATTTTAGATAATTAGCTTGATAGTAACTAAGATTCAGACATTAGATTGGGAGTAGCCAGGTTAAATCTTTCAATGAATGGCTCTAATGTAAACATCGTGTAGCAGACAGCCTCCTGAAGTTAGCACAAAAGAATATATATAGTACATGAAGTGATAGGAAATACAAAATGTTTCTCTTTAATGTTTATCTAGAATAATTTGATGTTAGACACTGATCATTATGGATGGAATCATTTTGAATTTATTTGACCAAAAAATATGCTCTTGTGTGCTCTTGATTTGACACTTTGCTGGTGAGAATGGATGTTTTTAATTATAATATATAGAATGTGACCTCCTCTAAGAGAAAACTGTGTTTATGTTGCTTTGTGTTGATGAATGATTCCGAGTAAGGCGGAGACTACACCAAACTATTTCCACATCTAAATGAAGCCATGTAATTACAACTTTGCAAACTCAATATTTCATCAGTCATATCATCTCACTGTGTTTGTCACATTTGTTTTGTGACACTTTTGTAATGGACAGATTGATTTTGTAAAATATATATAATCCCCTTCCATCCCACTCCTCAATATAGTTTAGTGGTTTAACAACAATACAGGCTGCACCATGTTCTGCTAAACAATAATCCTTCTGTGTAATGTGTGAATGCTATAGATATACGTCAATTACTTGTTAAACAAACTCAGAAACAACCCCCTCTTAATAGTGCTTCTCCAAGAATAATTTATTTTATGTTTTTTATGTTCTATTGTCCAAAAGTGGGCGGCTGAATGCTCTGAAATAGGAATTTGCCTGATCCTCGTTCTCTGCTCCATGTTGGATCTGGGCCAACATCAGCAGCCATCTTTGTGCCAAACTGGGTTGCAGGGTTGGCTGATCAAAAACAATATGTGATGAGAACTCCACAGGAGAAACAAATCATAAATGTGACCTCAGTCCACTTGCAGTTGAAGGCAGCCTTGTGCTAATATTTGTGTTTAACTGTTTAATTTAGCCTCCGTGAAGTTGGCCTTGGGCAGGCAATAGGCTTGGGCTCATTCGTTACAATTTTTTTGAGATTTCAATAATGTGTAGATACTATAGGCTACTCTCGTCATCTTATGGACTACAGGTTGGCTTCAGGGATTGTGTGGTCTTCAGCAGTGACACTGTGGTGTTCAGATGGAGTCGATACTCACTGTTTTCTGTTGTGTTGTGTTTCCTTTTCATTACAGTATATCCTCATGTTTGCATGTGCACGGAAATGTTCCAAAGTGCTACCCTCAGATGCTGTGGGTGGTACTCATTTCTTTATTATGCATGAAAATAAAAGTCACATTGGGTGAAATGGGATAAACCTAACAACAATTCAAGACAGACAATTGAAAACACACACTGGGATAACTGTTCTGTTGGCTTTTTTTTTTTTTTTTAAAGAAAACAAGGGGTCTTGTTTAAAATGTTGTGGATGTCTTTAGCCTATTTCATGTTTTTATTACCTTATACTAAGGTCCTTTTATGATGAGCTGAATATTGAAATGAATTTTACTATATTCTTGTGATGGGGAGATGTGCTCCCCTGTTTACTTGGCACTTCAGTTTGTTGTAATGCAATTGTTTTGTTATTTCTATGTAAGTACTTGAATAAAGAAAAATATCACTTGCCTTCAGTTTACTCTACGTGGATGCGCACACATGCACGCCACTGCGTATACAAACCACACCTGACATTTAATTTGATGAATAATGCCTGCATTATAACACACATTTTATAAAACATGTAACCACTAGTCAGGCAGTAATATATTAACACATCGGGAAGGTTTATATGTATATTTTTCTCGCTTTGCTAGTCATAAAAACTTCCTTGGAGGAAACACGAGCAGCTTAGCCCCGGACTTCCTGTTTAATGCTCGACTGTTGACTGGTAGAAAGGGATGAAGTCTTCGGAAGATAATACAACTACCCAATGAAATCGGAATAAAAGTACACTCAAAATGAGCTGGTATGTACTTTGGTTACTTTAGCCTATTAAGTTAAAAGTATAACTTTAACCGATACATTAATAATGGCACAGGACAGCTGGCTTGTCGACCGGGCTCCGGCTATTTCCTGCTAACTTAGCGCTACACAAACAGTAACATCACAGTTTAACAGGTGTTAACTTTAGCTAGATAAACACGCGAATAACGTTAAAAGCTCTCAGACTTTTAACAGTTCATCGGCGAATAGCACCGTCTGACTTGTAAACAATAACGTTACTATAAAAGCTGCTAACATCGATCGAAGGGTGTCTGAGTATTTAGCTAACTGTTAACTTGGACAATATCTAACCTAGGTAACGTTAACGGTAGTTTGGTTGCTGAAGCTTTAGCAAGTGACCTACAGAAACGGAATTGACTAACGTTACTATCTGAAGTTATAGGTGCTTGTTTATAACTTACTCTTTCAATAAACTGAGGCTGTGCCTTTAGCATAACATTGAAACTGAATGTAGCTAACTGTTAGGTCAACAGGGTCAACACTGAAGCCATTTAAAGGGATTTGATCACTTGACAGTAATTCTGGTCAACTCTTAACGTTATTAGTTAACTTTGGCATTTTGACAGGAACTTCAGAACCACTGAGGATTTATGTTACTTTATGTACTCGTGTGTGTGTGTGTGTGTGTCTCGCTCTAACCCTATACATATGTGTATATATATATATGTGAGAGAGATGAAAAATGTGAATGCTACGTAGAGTAGTGACTATGAGTATTTCCTAGAAAGTAGGTGGGTAACTTAGGTCAGGGAGTTGCTACCCCAAACATGTTTACCTTGCTGTAACTAACAAAGCTGTGGGTTCCAGCTGGTATTCACGCATCTTGGGCACCCATATGTTCAAATGTGGTTTTAGTAGTGCAACACAAATTTGAGAGTTGCTGGGTGGGCTTTTTGAGTAACATTTACCTTTGGGCTACTAATCCACAAATCTTAAATTACTTACTGGAAGCAAGAGAAGCCTCTGACTGCTAACCACAGTTTAATATCAGGTTTTATGCGCATAGTTCTGCAGACCCTATCTTTGGGTTGCGTTTTTGGAATTTGAAGCATCTGTATAATTTGGTAGTATTGCCCCATAATTGAAGAGATATTTAGTCAATTGATCAACTATTTTGGTGACAAGTTATTCTTTTAAGTACTTTTTCAAGCAAGTATGCCAAACATTTTTTGATTCCAGCTTCTCTAATTGGAGAATATGGTGCTTTCTGCTATCATAGCAAAATGAATATGTCTGGGTTAGGGACAAAGCAATCCATTTGAAGACTTCACCTATTGTTGTGATGGGCAGTTTACACCATTTTCTGACATTGTTCCATGAAGAAGAAAAATAATTGGCAGATTAATCAATAATGAAAATAATATCACCACGTCATTATTAGGTTTGGGTATCGTTTAAAATTTTACGATACCAGTTCCAAAGTCAGTGATACGTGATGTGAATAGCAAATAAAAATGTACAGAGAAGTGTTTGACACCAGAAGATGAAGCCAATAGAAAGCCAAGCTTGCAACAGTGATGAACATGCCTGAGACCGCAGCCGAAGGTGAGCGGCTATTAAAATCACGCATGGACTCGGCAGTGCGGGCATTTTTCATACAGTCTGGCACATAAGAAAAAAAAGGCATGCTCTTCTCTTTCTTTTGGTGTATTGTTTGCGTGTTTGGCTGCAAGCAAAACCATAAAAATAGTAATTTTTTGCCACGATCTGGCTACAAAAAGTATTGAATGAAGTGGTTTGACTGGAGACGTTTCGATTCTACTCGATACTGGGCTGTTTCGGTCGATACCATAAAGGTATCAAGCCATCAAAGGTATCATACCCATCCCTAGTCATAATTACTGTAAGATGTGTATATACTTTTAAAACACATTGTGTCCCTTTTTGAAGATTTGGAAGTTGTTAGTCTTTGTAATGATTTGTAATTATCTATGGAGCCACAGATTATTATGGAATTACGTTCAGTGAAGGAAGAGAAGTGGTGTGAACAGTTGGTTTTATGAAATAGTCCCCATGGATGATCTAGCTGAATCTGTGAGTCCTGTAATACAAGGTCTTCCATCCTCCCTGAGAAAGTAAACAACAGAACATGTTTTGTTCATTTCTGATTCTTGACGCTTCTCTCATATAAGTTATGTTTATTTAAATATATCTATGTATGATACAATGTATAATCAATTGGCTTTACAGGCGCACATCATTGAGTACTAGTTCCTTACCTAGCCCAGGTTCTCTCAGCAGACTATTAGGCAACTCACCAAAAACATTGCTTATGAGAAAAAGTTCACTCAAGGGTGTCTGAGATTTTATTTATCTTTGGTGTCTCATGGAGGCTCTTTGTAGTAATAGCTATGATCTGAATGTGTAACATTAAGTATTTTGGTCATGCTTTCTTCAAAGGAAAATATAGGGGCAAAAATCCACCATAGGCCTACCTATTGTATTACAGTTTCTTTTCTTTAGTAGGCCTTTGTGTTGTCTTGGCAGCACCTTGTTTCATGTTTTATTTTCTTGAGAACAGTTGCCCACCAGATTGAGCAAGATGTGTAGTCATCTGTAAAGTCTTCATCTATCACCCCTTCTGTAGTGTGTTTCACATATGGTGATGGCTAAACTAAATGACTTTTAGTCTGAATAGATCAAATCTGTTGCTCAACATTGACAAACTTTTGTTAAGTTGGACCTTTTATGGTTATTTTACAAAATATTCAGCTATGGCTATACTTGATTTTTATATGTATGGAATGTTTGTGATACCAGTCCGCAACAGTGCTGCTGTTTAGGAGTTCATAAAGAGGTTTGCATAAATTCAGTGCTTTCTTCTTCATTCAATGTATAAATGCAGTTCAAAAGGAAATGGGAAGGAACTAACACTTATTATAACAAACTCTTTCAGTACGTCTGTGATGTGTATGTACATTAACGCCTTTTATAATACACATTCTTAGTGTCAGGGAAGACAGTAATCAAGTAAGGAAGATGGCGTCACTCAGTTCCATCAGACAATCAATAGCTGGCAAGCAACACTTCTACCAGCACGCACCACCAAACACAAGGTCACGAGTGGGGTGCTTGACCAGTGAAAAGAGTCCTTTATGGGCGCTGCTGACTGATGCATTCCAGTAGGGCCTGCACACTTGCTTCTATGACGTGAGAGGTTTGACTTTGGGGTCATCATCAGAACAATTCCACTTCCCAGCATCTTCAACTGGCCCTCTGTGCTCCATGGAATATTCAAGGTTGAATGATGCACTATCCCTATAATGGCATACACATTTGCAGTTTTCGTGAAAAGCCATTGGTTTCTTCCAGTCGGTGCATAATTTGTCCCGGATAGAGAAGACTGTCATGTCTTTGTTCTTGCCTACGTGCTTACTCGATGGCAGTGACGTGTAGCCTATTACAGCAAAGATCAGATAGCTCTGTAAATGCAAGTTGACCAACTTGCTGATAATGACAACAAATGTGTAACAGACATTTAAATGCATCTGGTCATGAAAATGGGCTATGACTGAATATTACATATCTCTTGTGTGAGTGAAGGTTTACTGGTGAAGTGAATCTTTGGATTCAAGTGTTGTAACATGGACAAATAATATAATGACTGTAGATTATATTGATCAAATTTTCCAAAGTATTTAGCACTTAATCCTTAGTCGGGGACAGCCTGATTTACATAGTCGAATCAGAATTGTCTTGCCTATAGTCGACTGTTAGTCGAATCACATATGCATTGACCCCTTCCTTAAGGCTTTAGGTTACAATTTTTGATTTATTCACGCACTTCCTTGCTTCTTTCTTTTCACATTTTTCTTTTCAGCATTATATGTTGAAATGTATATTGTAATAGGCTGTATGTTAATTTATTGGGAGAAAACTGGTAGTTTTCTGTAAAATCAGACGTTGAGCACCCCCATATCACCAAAACGGCATGATCTCACTTTGCAGCGAAGCTTTGACTGTGAGATTGACAGTCAAATCAGGCTCCGCCCATCGAAGCATCAAATGTTCGAATATTCAGGGTCAGCCCTTAAATACCAAGGCAATATTCAGCTGGTATAACACACACTTTTTCTGTCTTCTGTTTTCTTGTGGCCGGGCTTCTACCATGTCAGACACTAGTTCTGGGTTCACAAGACCTAACTTACCAATGTTTCTAAATGTGACAGCCACTACAGAAATATTGCTGTGTAAAGGAACATTAGAAATGATTCTCACAGTGACTACCATCCTCCTCTCTCATTCTCTCCCTCTGGTTGCCTGCTACATTTTCCCTCTCCCTCCCCGAAGCACACTTCACTCCGTGTGTTTGCCAGTTCTCATGAACAGTCAAAGAGAGTGACCACTTTCCTTTGGCTCTTTGTAGAAGTGGACATACTCTGAATCTATAAAATTAAGCACTCTTCATTTTGTACCCAAGCAAATATTTCCTTTGGTACATTAAAGTAAAAATCCACCCTAATACAGTTACGCTTGGACGGACTCTCTTGATGTCATCGAGAACCAAATGCTGGTCATGGTCAGCTCTGCCAAAATGTAGCTAAAGAGAACATCGAAAGCAAACATTTAAATATATGTTTCATGGTACATTGATGGCAATTTGAAACACTGCCATATTTATACTTAACTCTTCCATTAGGTTTTTGTAATTGGATGTAATAATTTTGTCCCCGACACACCCTCCAAAATCAAGAGAAATTTTCCCAGTTACAAGACAATAATCCATTATTTATTTTGAGTCAATGTAAAAGCTACATAGCCCACTCCAAATATTTATACCCTAAGGCAACATCCGTATCTGCCCCTAGTCCCCTTTTTTCTTTCTTACAGCTACATCAGTGATTATCTATGTTTGTCCTCTCCATAGATTGCTTACTTTATGACAATCAGACGCCGATCAGACGGAGTGCGGTGCCGGCTTTTGTTGATGCCTGAATGTTTTTTAAAAAGCAGTGCAACCTCTTGTCCTTAGCCTAACTGCGATTTTGCTGTGAAGTAAATTCTCACATCTTCTTTTTTTATACAGACCGGCTGCAAGGCACTTGCTTTGGCTGTGACTGAGGGTGAGATTCTGATCTCGATTATTATGCTGGTCAAAGGAAAACGGTGATCACGTCGGTACCTGAGACCCTCTGAAAGAGGAGACATCCTCTGAAAGAGGGTCTCAGGTACCCACCAGCTGGTCCCGGGGCTTTGCCTGGGTGATGGTCAGTTCAAGGATTATTTTAGGATGAATCGGGGACACTTTGACAAAGTTAAAAGTGAGCTAACACTGGCTTAACACAAACCAGTTAACGGTGGTAATGAAAACAACTTAGTACAGCATTAATTTGCCTCCAGGCCTGCTGTTTCTGTTCAAATCAAGGTAACTAGGTTGGTTAAAATCAAATCACTCTGGGTATGCAACAACAGCCATCACTAGACTTTCCTAATGATTGTTATTTTCAAGCAACCCTAAGCTTTATTGTCACCACCACAGGAGGCCCTCATCTCAATTAATCCAATTGGACAGGGGGGAAAATATGCAAATAACATCGGGCACTTTTCTGCTGAGTTTTTTCAGCTTGTGGCAAACGGAGCGCTATTGCATAAACGCGAGCTGCTCCGAGCGTCAAAAACGCAAGGTGCCAGGGTGCCTTACCCACTCGCAAAACGCTTACTGCCTATAGGAAAAAAACTGGAGAAAGACGCCTTTCCTTGCAAAAACTACACCCCGTCTTATCTGAACACAGCGTTTCTTTATTATCTGAGCATTAGAAACATATTTTGGACCTTCAGAGGTTTTTCTGGCATGCTCCTAGTTGCTGAAACCTATTCCGTCGTTACAGTTGCTCCCTCATTCAGGTCTGGCAAACCAGTCTTTGCTGGTTGACGTAAATCGCATCACTACTGGTTCGGCAGCTTTAAATTTCAGTTATAAAATTGTTGCTCGCTAAAATTGACACTCACTGTTATTGCACATATTTGTTAGTTAAGCTTTATTTATTCAGTCTCATTGAGATTGCTGTCTCTTTTACAAGATAGACCTGAGACAAATTGCATATATACAGCATCATAACAAGACAATTAAGTCACACAAAGCAGTCATCAAACAGGCACACTAATTAAAACAATCAGAAATATTATTAGCAAGAAAACCTTGAATGTCCCTCAGAGGATAGATTGTCTTCATTTGTTTTGCAGTTTATTCCAGTAGCAAGCTGCATAGTACCTATTAGTATAAATGATACTCTTGCGTAGCTGTGTGTAGTTTTACTTTCTGCCTGAATTGGGGTTTCATCATTCATAAACACCGGAAAATGTGTGTGGGTTAAGGTCTCCAAAAATCATGATGGCATATGCCAAACAAAGGAATACTGCTAGCAAGAGGAACAGCGGAGAAACTAGTGTTAAGAGAGGCAAGTCTGTCTGACGAAGCTGAATTGATTCTCAAGTGGTTGGTTCCAGATATAAAACTCAGTGAAAACTGATCTTGGAAGATGTAGTCTGGCTGTGAGAGCCTGGTTCTCCTTATTGCAGCTTTGGGAGAGCACTGAGTGAGCTCAGCTTCAGTTAACATTCAAAGAAATGTTTTCGAAATTATGCTGTTGTTGTATTTTGGAAATGGAATTTAATACAAGTTTAGAGACAGCTACATAAGTAATAATCAGATAAAGGTGAGTCACATAACACGGCCGTGAGTAATTTCTGTTTCTGTTATTTTCCATGATGGCTCACCCAAATGATGACACAATGGGTGAAACTAGTTTCCTGAGCCAACAGCAACAATGTCTTTAGACATCAGTAGTCAGTTTGGATTCAAGGGTAAATTCAAAACTTCAATTAAGATAACGCCAGGACAATTGGTACCTGATACAACCTAAAGCAGCACTGAGCCAGCAAATCAAAGGAAATCTTGATCCCTGTCACTATGAAACCTGTTTAAAAAAATAAAACAAAAATCTTATATTTTTTACAAGATTGATCCTGCTGTTTGACCATGTTGAGTTTTGTGATTGAGCTGTCATCAAAAGGATCTTCCCCACACATGGGTAGCGTTCACTGGTTGCACAACGAGCCCCTGCATCACACCCTCTCTTTTCCATCTCATTAGTCTACACACCTTTCTTTTGACGCAGCTGCTGCCTCACCCTGCCTGTCAGCAGCAACTGTCCATCATATAGCTTAGATTTCAGGCTATTAGTGCGACATCAATGACAACCCACAGCCAGGCACATTGGCAAGGCAGTGTTTTCTGTCTCATGTATTCCCATAGCACTCTGATGCTCGGCAGCAACTTATTAAGGCAAAGCCAAGGTTTTGAAATGGGGATAAAAGATTGTGTTTTAACTAAGAAAGAATATGTCTCTGTTTCTTTACCCAAAAATAGAGTCAGTGTGTTTTTGTCTTACAAGAGTGAAGAAAAGTTTGTATTTCATTCTGAAAATTAGGTGCAGCTACTGTAGTTACTCTAAACCCTATGACATGTTTTGTTTCCTGATTGATTTGTAGCACTGGTCTCAAGTTTTCTTTTAAAAGCAAGTCATTGTCCTGGCTGTGCCCTTTTGAGCCCCGATGTATTAGGGTATCTGCCTTATACTGTGAAATAGCCCTACTATTTTTCTGATATACAATATAGCGAGTGCATCTGTTTTTGATTGCCAGCCGGGGTCATTCGGTAAAGCCACACTAAGAAGAGGGGACAGCCACTTCTGTTTAGTGATATCCGCCTACAATGGGAACCAGATGTGTTTAGTGATGACATGAAGTTAATGTACGTGGCCTCAACAGCACAATCCGGAGAAGCAGGAATTAACAGCTTCAGATTGTCTTTATGAGGGATCTGAAAGAGGCACTTGTTCACCCGTACCAACCTCTAGTCACCCATCATGCAACTGATGAAAATCTAAAAATTCCTCCTTTGTAGATAGAACCTTTCCAGTTGCTTATGCTTACCTGACATTTCTTTTTGTGTGATTTCAGGATTCCCTTCAAGACTGGACAACCAAAGAAGCAGATTGTCTCTAAAACTGTAAGTCCCTCACTGGAACAAAAGTTGACTTGCTCAAAAAGGTTTAATGCCTAAAATTCAACCAAGTTTATGTAAATGAATAAATCAAAACTTGCTGTAGGGCAGTATTTATAAAATAAAAAAAATAACGTTTTGCAAAGGTTTAGATGTAGTTATTCAGCTTCACAAATGGCATATACAACATGAATAGTAGTCTAAATAATGTCATCAGAGTGCCAATTTGTCTGGCCATGCAAGGGGGCAGAGGTGGTTACCTTGAAGTGACAGTGAGTGGGCGTTGTCCTTGCTGGAGAAAACCACTTCCAGCGTAATGGGTCTGTGGCCCGGCAGTCACTGTCAGACTGGGTTTCCAGCTTCCTGTGCCATCCTAGGCAAAAACCAGGGAGTGGGTTAGAGGCAGCCTGGTTCGATGATCCGCTAGAGACAAAGTGTCAACTGCCTTCCTCGTTGTTTTGGCCACTGTGTTTAAATCCAGGAGCCCACAGAACCACACGACAGGAACCCATGCTGCCTCTGTAACCTGCTTGGCATGCTTTAGAGACATAGTTGGACAAACTGTTTAAGCCCTTGCTGACCCTGGGAAGTTGATGTACTCAAGTATTTTACCTGCAATTTGAACTACTGAAACCCAGTGGAGTTATAGTTCTATAGCTGAGGTCTGTGTCCCTGAAAAAGTACCTGTTCCTAAGAAAGTGGACGGCCCAGGAACTGCTGTTGTAAAGGTAAAAGAGTAAACCATTGAACCACGGTTGAGTGGTCACGTGAGCCTTGAGACTGCAACAACTTATGAACATCATTCATTCAGAATACAAACAAGCACTGGTTGTTGTTAGTATGCATTATATCCCTAACCATGTGGCTACTTTTTAATTTGCCATCTGTATAATTTGCCTCAACTCCTTCAGTTGATGTGGAACTGTAAACAAATGTATTCCTGACATAGTTCTTGGAAAGTGTATTACCTTAGAAGCGCTGTATGATTATTGTGTTTGACTACACAGATGTTTACATTGTAACTGTACCTTGTGTGTATGTATATTCTCCGCTGCACTGCCTGTACGTATGGCCTCTGCAATTCAGCAAATGTGCAATATCCTGTAGAGAAATACGTTATTGTACTGTTTTATCTATTGTTTTCACAGGTTTAGTAATTTACACACTTTATATTATTACTTTTGTATATTTAGAAACTTATGTTTTTAGCTCAAACTTTTATATTTTTAATTTTGTTGTCATGTTTATTTTATATGTGGGAATCCACCGTCCATCGCACTCAATAAAGAAATCTTAATCTGGATCTGAATACCTTGTGATTATTATTAATAAGCTGTGATTAAACAATTAAAATGAACACACATGTTAAATAATGGAAACACAGAATTTGACATGAAATGTGTTTTTGTTTTGTTTTTAGGTTGAAAGAGACTTTGAGCGAGAGTATGACAAGCTCCAAAAGTAAGTTTGCATTCTCAACCAAAGTCTACATTATGGTAGACTTCCAAAGAAGTTTTCTGTATGTGGTATTCATATCTCTTTGGAGAGTTTGTGTGATTTGTGTTTGTGTGTCTTTTGGTGCCTTCAGTTTGGTGAAAGGTGATTTCTCCCACAGCATATCTGTGCCCACATAATGCATTTTATTTTTAGTAGTCTGATTATCTGGGTCAAAAAAGCGCTAATCATAAACATTTAATTTTAAATGTATTTAGAAATAAAATGTGATTGTAAAGACCCAATAGTCTGTGTGGAATGTATGAAGCAATTCCCCCTTGTATTCCTTTGTTAATTATGGTTATTATGACAAGATAATAAGTAATAATGATAAGAACTAAAGCTGTACTACTAATATAAGTGATTGTATTAATTATTGTAAAATCTGTTATCATGCATTTCCTAGTCAGGGAAGTATGAAGCCAGAAATATCACACTGTGAAAAGATGTTGTGAACCTGGAAACATTGGGAGGTCTTCTCATAAATGAATGCATTATAATCCAAACTTTTAAAAAAATGTTTGTTATACAATTAACAATTTTTTTTTTTTCACGTGTTTACAAAGCACTCTGAGAAACTCACACTTTACATGCTCCTCATTGTACATACATTGTCTTTGTCCCACACAATTTGCCAGTCCCTGCTGTGTTTGGTCACTTGTTTTTCTCAACAGTGAACTGTGAAAGGACCCACGTTTGTGCTATGGTGGAAAGAGAGCTTACATTAGATATTCCTTTTAATTTCTGATAAACCTGCATTTAAGATAGAAGTTATAAACTTATGAACCTTTCTGTAAATGCTTTCATGAAAATATATTTAAAAAATAATATGATTTAATTTGTGGATGGAGACATGCTCAAGGTTTTTTACAAGTAACTTAAAGCCTAAACTAAAAAGTAAATTTATAAACTATTGACGGCCATTATTTAACCTGTCTACCTCGAATTGAGTGACAAGATAATCAGTGTTTTTATGAAACAAAAGAGAAAGGGGTTCAGCACACTGTAGCACCCAAGAACTGACAACTCGGTACAGCCGGGCCTTTTCTTACTGTGAGGCCAAAGTTATAGAAACTCCCTGAGGGCCCCACAGAATGAGTGGGAGCACCATTTTCCTCTCAGGTTTTGTTGAGTAGGAGGGCCCATTATCAGGAAGGTGTGGTGCCAATAGACCTTATAGATGAGTCAGAGTTGCAGGCATGTACAGACATTTAGATTCTCCACCCTAGAGATCCATATCAACACATCATGTTGCATCTGTGGCCTAAATACTGTATCCTTGGTAGGCTTCATGATGATTCCTGTTTTTAAATTCTGTCCGCCTGAAAAAAGCTAACTTCACTTGTGATTTGTGGGATTAATAATATTGAATCTAAAATGAGTATAACTGCCATGTGCGCACATAGCTAGGGACGGGGATCGAGACCCGGTTCCAAAAGGACCCGGTACAGCTACGCTCGTTACTGTAAGTACGTGCAATAAAACCTTCGCAAGTAAAAAGACAATACTTTATCAATGCACCTGCCTGTAAGGTAACGTTAAACATGTAGAAATGGTTAATTAAATCATCTCTGTCCTCAGTATCTCATCCTCTATGTTTTATACAAGCACAGCTAACGCTAGCTTGGCATTAGCCAAATGTTAAAAACAAGCTAAATAGAAAGCTGTCTGTCTGGAGAACAGACTGGTCTGTAGTCTTAAAAACTCTGATGCTCAGCTGCTGGCTGAGACAAAGCAGCCGCTCCTCCTTCTACCTGGTAACGTTACCTGCAGCCAGCGAGAGAGGAAGAGGGACTGATATTGTTGATGTTGTTCTTTCTAAACGTCACTCACTACTTGTGATGTCAGATAAAGTTATTGAGTTACTTTGCTGTTGTAAACATTAATGTTGCTGCTCTAGAAACAACATTTAGCTGTATTTAAAATATTAAATTAAAAACATCCAGGCCGATAATATGTACACTTCAATATATGTTTATTTATCACAAGTGATATGTCATCTCAATATATAAGGTTATGGTACATTGAATATTTTCCCCATACCGTGCAGGCCTACCTCATGCCTGCATGTTGGGTCTGGTCTGGTCTTACCAAATAACCATCAATAAATAATAGTAAACTATCGATAGTGGTATCGATAAAGAATCAGATCTTTAAGCAGTCTCAATAAGGGTATCAATAAAAATGAACAATCCCCATCCCTACACATAGCTAAACTAGAGCCTGACTGATACAAGAGGCCAATATTGATGTCAATATTTGAGTCGCATATCAGCTGATTTTTTAATTTTCACTTTTTACACAAACATTACATACATAAACATTCATAAGGAACCATTACATTTGTTAATTACTAGTGCAGTGCCCGTTCACAGGGGCTGATGTGATGCCTCCCTCTGCTTTTTGTTCAAAATGTGCGCCTCACATTGGTTTCACCTACAGCAGCGGTCGACAATAGATGGCCAAATAAATAAATACATAAATAACGAAATAAATGCCCTGATTGTGGCTGGTGCTGAAATAGATCTTAGTCATGACAGCAACAGTTATAAACATAATCACTTCCTCTTAAGTGATTGTGCCTACAAAATAAAAGCGTGATATAGTTTTTTGCAGCAATGCTTTATGTCAAGTTGAATTGAGAGCTTTTAATTTGAAAAATTCTGAAAGACATTCAAAAGAGTCTGTGGCGTGCCTAACACACCTCTGGGGGAAGGAAAAAAACCTCAGGAAATATGAGATTGGATTCCCCTGAATGAGAAGCGCAGGTATTCCCTCTAACTGGGGATTCCGGGGAAATGAAAATAAGGATCCATAGTTTGATGGATGTGGATCAATCGCCGGGACGCACACACTGTAGCACATGCTTGATTGAAAGACCTGTGCACTACTGACTGAGCTAACCAGACACTAATACTTTTATGGCAACCCCTGACCTACAGCATGAATAACATGTAAACAACATGTCAGTTGCGGAGTTACTGCTAGATCTTCAGCACTTCTCTTCGTATCAGCATATTCATACGTACAGCATATACCGTCCCTGCTACTAAGCACCGGCAGCGCTGTTTTCCAGTATATTTATTAATTCTGAATGTGTTGCATGTTCGAATTGCACCAAACATGACACTGGCCTCCCTTGGGTCCGCAGCAACACACCTGCCACGTTTGAAGTCGATTGGATGAACGGTTCCTGACATAATTGAAATACAAACAGACAGACCGACACAAAGAGATTCCTGTCTCTATTGGAGAGATGACTAAAATACGTAATGAGCTGGACATTGTAAGTTTGAAAAATAAACTTGTCAGTCGATCTTTTGGCCCCCGTTAAATACCTGTCAAGCTCTAATGTAGACACACACACAAAACAAAAACATGCAATGCAGCTTGAGGCTAACTGTCTTAAAACATTGTTTTATGTACCTTTTTGGAGCTATCCAACCAACCTTTCAAGATGAACATGTTGTAATGTAAGAGTGGTGTGAGAATTATTTTTTTTTTGCCATGAATTATTCTGCTTGGTCCTAGGCATGAGTCATGATTTTCGTCGTTAAATTATCAAAAAATAAAAATAGTTTATATGACTATTGTTATCTTCTCTTAAAAAAATATTATCCTTTTTTTCCCCCAGTGCCTGGTAGTATCGTGTAAAATGTTGGTGGTCTGCAACTAACTAACACATTCTTTTGAGAGTGAAGCACTGTCTATGTCTCTCTCTTAATGTCTAATGTACTGAAACCAGACCACTCCAGTTGGTAAATAAAGCAGTAATTTACATGGAAGTACAGTGCCCGACATGGTTATAAAGGGACTCTGGTGTGAATGGTCAGATGTGTGCCTGTTCCTTCTCTAGTGTCGTACAAAGGGTTTGTGTGTGAAAGTCATATGAAATGCAGTAGTATCTTTCCAGTTTTCAGTAGGCGATGTGGCTAGGTGATTGTGGCTGCACAGGCCCAACATTGGGGCACTGGAACAAGGAGCAGCAGCTGTTCCACGAGGCTGCTCCATTAGCACCTTTTTGGAGAGAGACTCCAGGCTCACCTGGCGCTCATCCAGAATGGCTGTCTCACTGTCAGTGCTGACAGTGTAGGGAAGATGCAAGAGTATTGTGCAACACATTTTAAAGTAGGGGGTACTATCTGGAACATGAGTCTCACATGCACAAACAAGCACCACAAGAACACATCTCAGAGCATGCTTGTTTGTTTACATGGTGAGACTCCTTCACCCTCTATCCCGCAGCCCAAGCTCCATGACTAGCAGGGTTTAACTGTTATACTGTTATTTTCCTCGTCTCTTATTTGTCTCCTTTCATTACTTTCCAGTGTTAACTGTCAGACAATTTACAAGACTGCTTTAGTTTTACATGATGCCCTCCATTGACTCCACTGGCATTCAAAACAAAGTCTGGTTATGTCGCGTGAATTTAACTGTGTCTACTTGCTGCCATCAGAAAGACAGAACGGATAAAGCTGATCACACCAGTATTTCCAGATGTTTCTAACAATGTCAGTAGCAATTTGCTAGTTGCAGGTGTGACTCAAAACAGAAATGCAATTTGTGATGATTGTGAAGATTGTCTGATCTTTCACAACCTGAACATGAACAATACATTTATTTTCCTGGTCTACATGTGTGTTGGGCAACCAACGTTATGGAAACTGGAAGAACCCTTCTAATTATCAGATACTGACTAAATCCTGCCTGAAGTTAATAATACTGACTTTGAAGTGAGTAGCATCGTCTACAATTAGAAGTATCTATTTCTAAATATATATTTTGATTGCTTTAGAGGAAGGCTGATTTGGCTTATGAAACCCAGTTACATCTAATTGGTGAGAGAAATGCAAGAAGTTGCTGTGGAGATTGCTCTGACAGAATGTCTTTTTTCCCGGTGGTGTGAAGAATAAGGGATGAAGTTACATCATTTACTGCTAATGACATTTTTGGAACAACCTCCATCTGGTCTGTGGCGATTGAGTGTGAAATCCTAAAAAATGTCAAGACAAACAAAAGCGTGTAGAGGACACGTTATGATAGAAAATAATAAATATTTTAGTTACCCTTACAACCTACTTCTTCCTTTCTAGCCCTGTTAGGGCATCAAATGAGTAAATAACTGAAATTGCTGTCACAATTTAAATAATTCAAATTATTAAATAATTCAAGTGCAATCTGACATGGGTTGATACTACAAAATATTTTTTTTGCTGCTGCTGTTGTTGACACTTGCCCAGGACCCCAAAATGCCTGTGTTATGATTGTACTGTGTTATTCAGAAGTTTAGAAATGTCTGTATTTAACTAAGATGTTATTTGGCTTCAAATCTCATGGGATTATACTGCACGAACTGTTTGGTTCATTTTATGATAACACAGTATGTTGTCCTTTTTTGGAGTTGAACATTTCCTTTACTGTCCTGTCACTGTTTTATGAAGTGGAGCTGTGTGAGCAAACTCACTATGTGTTCTGTGGTCATTAAACTCTTCACTGATAAATGAATGCTAATGATAAATAATAATAATTTCAAGGAACACCTATTCCTTAGGTGTAACAGTTTAAGCAGCCAGTGTTGAGGGAGCAGAGAACCAGGCACATTCATGTTTGGTTAATGCACTTGTGGGAATGCTAGAGTAACCCACTGTTTGTTTCCCAGCTGCTGAACAATAATAAAAAAAACTTCAAGAACCCTGTATTTGGAGGCAACTGACTGCCATTTTTGGTTTGCATAGCCATGTGTGTGTTACCACTGTCTTTAAATCTTGTGGCCAGTGGCCATAGTGCCCCCACCAGAAATCCTGTGGGATTACACAGCTATTGTCTTCCTAGTAAATGTAATCCCTCAAAGCAAAGATGGAAATGAAACCCCACCACGTTCCCTTTTTCATCAAACCAGGAGAAGTGATATGACAGCAGTCTCAGGGGAGATTCTAAACCCCTCGTTTGCTTTAATTGATATAATGAATAGTGTGTTTTCAGCCTCCATAGTCTGGTAATTGCCATTTTTAACACCCATCAATAGAATATGTGCAGTGGAATGATTGAAGACATTAATGCTTTTGAGCACAAATGTAGTTGACAGTAACAAAAGGATTTCCTGTATTATTAATTAGCTAACGGATGTTATAATAACATTTTATGTGGAATCAATGAAATGTGTAATTCCTTCTTGAACCATGTTTATATATATATATATATATATATATATATATATATATATATATATAATGCATATGCAAATTTCCTTTTCTAGGTTTTTGGTTTAGATCTTTTCTTTCGCCATGTCAACACGTCTTGAGTGGATAGAATAGATTTTGAATTGTATATAGAGTAATTATGATATGGGGGTGAAGACGGTGTACTTATTTTTTAATCACATTTGTCACTTTTTCCCCTTTCTGTTTCTCACTAATTCTGTTTGTTATACATTTCAGCCCATATTTCCCATTGTTTTCAGTGTTACTGATGCTCTACAGTATTACTAGACCAGAAGCTGGCTGATAATCATTCCTCTTCTTGTCTTACAGACTGGAGGATCAGACGAAGAAGCTTCACAAGGACATGAAGAAAAGCACCGAGGCTGATTTAGGTGTGTGCTGCCACCAAACCTGTGTGTTACCGCCGGGTGTGCCATTGATCTCCACTTGTTCACCAACGTACTTGATTGTTACTTGGCAGGTTTTTCAGGGCTAGAAAGACATTTGGTTTGGGCCTTCGCCTTAATCTTTTAGTGTGTTTGTTTTGGTAAATTCAATGTTCAGTTAGGGCTCGATTTGTCTACCATCTCTGCCTTCATTTAGTCGTGCATTTGTCAGCCACAGAAACCGTGTTTACTCTACTTTTTTATTTGCTTATTTGTTGGTTTTGGAGTTGTGTATTTGGGAAGCGTCAGTAGACATGGCCTGTGGTAAGTAGTCAGTTGTGGGGGTGGAGGAGCGGGGACGGATGGAGGAGTGAGAGGCTTCTTCATTTCCTCTCCTTTGTGCTTTGGAATATGGATGTCTGCATCATCAAAGTGTCATAGCTGTCAGGCCCTCATTATCGTTAATGGATTCCATCTGTTGCACAGGTCCCGTCTCCACCAACTGCTAACCAAACAAAGAACTGGACGTACTCTGCATGTCAGCAATGCATTTAATACACTGCTTTCTATATCGACCATCATTTATCAAGTCAAGGGTGGTGATATGCAGAGCTCTATTGAACTCACTGCCAATTAGCTGGTGAGGGCCGATAATATCTTTTAAGGGCTACTCTGGTTCACAATTTCAATTAGACTAAGTAACAGAAGGCGAAGAAAGTGGCAGGGATAAATGTGCTTTTCAAACTGAGAAATTGCTCATCTCCCTTCAGCCCCAGGTGATTACAAGAGACTTCAGCTTCACTTGTTTGCACACTACTAATACATATAAATAAAACACTACCCTCAGGTCACCTTTTTTATTTTCATGACCCTGAAATCAGCATGTCTCTGTTATACTAGGTGATGTCAAATCACACAGCTTGTTACTTATGAATGTGAAATAGAGAGAGATGCAGAAACGCCACACCCCAATAAAGGATTAGTTGAAAATTGGTCCATGAAGCCATTTTTTTACTACAGCCTCTCCTGTCAGCTTGTGTCACCTCAGTGAAGCTCATTCATTTTGACTATGAAGTTTTAATCTGATATGTGCTCTGTGTCTAAACAAAGTGGCATGAGTGCAGATTAACAGTAATTGGTGCTGTCAGTGTAGAAACATTGCAAAGATTCTTGGTGCTCTGGTGAATATTCAACACGGCAGCTAGCTTCACCAACCCCCATAGATTTTTACAATGGGGGCAGCACTGTGCAGTTCTACTTTTGCTCTTTAGTTCTTTCCCGAAAGCTCACATTTGAAGAGCCTACCACATACCAGCACATACCAGCACATACCAGCGCATACCGAAACTGATGACACGGTTTAAGCCTTGGTCTAATCCACAAAAAAATCTCCCTCTTGGTTGAAGAATAATGTGAAAATCTGGTGTTGATTTTAATACTAGAAGAGTGTGTAGATGAGGTAAGTAACCCTTTATATGGCCGTATGATTGTCTTTTCACAAAGTTAGTTGTGTGTGTTTTAACAGTGTCCTCTGCTTTGTTTGTGTGTGTCTTGTCAGCCATGTCCAAAGCAGCAGTGAAGATCTCTGCAGACCTGCTGAGTAACCCGCTGTGTGAGCAGGACCAGGCCTTCCTGGATTCCATGACTGCTTTAGATACAGCCATGAGAAGGATGGACTCCTTCAACCAGGAGAAGGTCAGGCTCAACCCCACAGTCTTTCAGATTTAAATTTTTTTGTGTGTTATCTCACTCTTTTGCTGTCTTTCTGTGCTTTGTTTTCTTGGCACTTGCCATTGGCACTGATATCATTCGATTGGTACCAGGGGAAATGTCTTTCCTCAGACATACAAAGTAGGAAACAAGATGAGTTTTTGTTGAAAATGCATGTTTTCATATTTGTCAATATTGCGCAGCCTGTGGACTAAAAACTATCCATATGTCTTTCCTTCTGCTGTTTTTGAAAAGCATCTGTGGCATCATCCTCTATAAGCTCATGCTACTGGTTATCAGCTGTGAAAATTGATGCATTTGTGACTCACTGGTGTCTAAAATAACTCATACAATGGGAAGGCTTTTTCTCAACAGGAATATATGCCCTACCTTGAAATTCATAGAAATAACGTGCTGCTTGGGTAGTGAACAACAAGTCTGTTTACTTATTTACTTTACTTACTTATTGACACAAACATCTGACTTCATTTCACTTTTTTTCACATTGATGGTTCACCCCACCCAATATAGTGTTGAAAATTTACAATTAGTTGTTTTCTTCATTCATGTAGAAGAGCTACTGTAATCAGCTTGAATCACCAAAGACAGACAATCCAACAGGCAGACCCAAACTGCCAAAGCCATCCATAGAGCCACACCGCTAGTGTGGCAAAACTGTGGTCCATCACTTCTCTCACTTGCGTTGCAGCATTTGTTTTGTTTTTTACTGTATTGTAATATTTAGAGTACTTGTTGATTCAGAGTGTGTTTCTTGTAATGTTTGTGCTTTTCACTCGTCTTGTGTTTTGTCCTAAGGGGCAACCAACCATAAGACAGGCAGACATCTCTTCTCAGAACTCGAAGCAGCACAGCATACTCTTGCCTGGCTCTCTCACAGCTGTACTTTGTGAAGATCTCCTCTTTGGCTGTCAGGCCTTTTCAGATTATTTGCCGGGTGCACTTCAGGTTTTTGATTAGAAAAATCGCCACAGGTAGTTATAATGTGAATCATAGTGGCACTGCATGTGTGCATCCTCAAGGCGCTACACTGTGAAGGGTAGACTTTTAAAGAGGAAAAAAATACAGGCGAACACAGGAGATCACACTAAAGCATATACCGATTGACTTTTTTCCATCTGTGTTTTCTTGACTCATTGCCCTGCTGTTAGGTGTTCTGGGCTTTTTGCATTTGTTGCCATAAAAATATTCCCCTTTCTTTTCACATTTAGTTGTGTACCAGAATGATTTCATAACCTTTTACACAACAGTGATCTAACAAGGTGGAGAAAATGAATACCTTCCTAAAAAAAAGTCCTTTTTTTAAAATTTCATGGTAAAATAGTAGTGTAGTATCTGAGGAGTAGCACACCATCTGCATTTGTACATATTGGGTTGAGTTGAACCTCATAAACTGGACTCATTTTCCATTGAACCTTTTCCCCAAGATATATGTCCATGCTACAAACCAGATGCCTATAGAAATGTTATCTTATCGTTAAAACTATTTACATCAATTTTGAAATATGAATGAAACCTGTTTTTTTTTTTTTAATAAATCTCATCACAAAGACAGACACTAGATTTGTATTTTTGTTATATTGTCATGTCAACTTTTTTTCTACTTTGATAGAAAGTGTGAAACTTTAGTTTCTTTCCTTTCTTCTGTAGCTTTAACATACCAGTCTTTCAGACTGGCTTTGCTCACAGCTCATCAAATTTTACAGGAGCAATTTTGAGTGACTAGACAAAGTAGAATGTGGGTTGGACTGAGCGTGTGGGTTTGTGACCCGGGGTGCGTATGTTCCAGGACTTGGCTTGGTCGAGTGCCCAGGAGAGCACTGCTGCCAGTTAGACTGTTTTCGGTATAGAGTAACTTTCACATTCTTCAGATTTTATAGAATATCAAATAAGCTATTTCTTTAATTTTCACTTTCTTTGAATTTGGAACTTCAGAGAAATTTTCATTAGTGCTGCCACGCCCAAATGGCTGTCAATAGAGAAGTGATGTTGGGTACTCTAAATCCTTTCCACTTCATTTGAAGACCAACATTTGAAGACTCTCTGTCTCCCTGCTTACCTCTGACTTTCCTTCTAGCTAAAATTGTAACCTTTATCTCCGCCAAACCTGAGAGGTCAGGCCATTACTGGATCCTGCTTGAGCTTGCATAGCTCTCCTCAGTACCCACATCAACTCATTCACCTCTCATTTTAATGTGATTTTGTACTTTCACATTTTAAGCGGTCTCCAGTAGCAAAAGGCACAGCTTGTTTTTACAGTATATAGTTGTGATTTCATTTCATCATGCTGTGTAGTTTTCCTGTTTGGCTCTGTGACTGGGATGTGTTTAACAGTGATTCAGCTAGGCAGCACAGTTTTTCACTTGTGGAGGACAACAGTCACCAACTGTATTGACGTGGTTGTATTTTTTTAAACGCACTTTCATCCAGAGTGGGTTTTGACAGCTAGGTCACACCTGATTCTCTCTGCACTTCTTTCAGTCTTACTAAATAAAACCCCCTGCCCTAACACAATCTTCAGTTCCTGGTTTGGGCAGGGCTGTGTGGCTCCTTTTTTTTGTAGAGTGGCTAAAAATGAGCTAAAGGCAAAATAGTGATTGTGAACACTTTTTGGTCAGCCTGCTATGTGGAATATCACCTCAGGTTTGGTAGGTGTTTAAAATCCAGCACAGTGCTCTCGAACACTACTCGAGCTTCTCCCTTCAAGCTGACTGTTGATTCTGACGGCACCAGCAGTAGACCCTATTGCTCCAGCACAACAGACACAAAAGCATCCACCCTTTGCTCTTCTCTGTGTTGAGACGAGATGTTCCGCCGCAGGGCCCGCAAGTGAGAGAGCCAGCAGATAAAACGTGCAGCGATAATGAAGGCAGCAGTGGCCCAGGTCTGTGTGTTTATTTCTGGGGCTGAGGAGGGCGCACAGCCCCGCCGGCACACTGCTGCCGAAGCTGAGCCCCAGTGTAGATGGCGGCAGCGCAGTAGAGGATGCTCCGTTTGGAGGGATATTGATTTCCTCTGCGATCTGTGTGTATTTTTGGGAGGCCTGTGTGCCAGGATGGCCTCTGCCCCGTGACTCACTGATGGAGACTACTGCTTGAGCGCTGGCCTCAGGCTCTGCTGGGCCTCCAAGGAATAGCTCTGCCCCCCCTCTCTGTGGGAAGGGGCAGAGGGTAGAGGGCACCAGCATGCTTAAGCAAATCTGCCGCTGTTGTTCTCCCTCCTCGCTGCATGCTCTCACCTTAGAAGCAGCAGCGCAGCTCAAGTCGGGGGGGAGTGGGGGGATGTGGGGTGGTGTGAATATGTAAAACAAAGAAAATGTGAATTCCCATGTACTTATTTGTTATTGGTTCTCTGTTTTCCCTCAAACCACAATCAACCATTTTGTACTTGGAAATCTGCCGGTGTGAAGCAGCGGGTGTTGCTGTATGTTCTCATAGCTGGTCAGGGCATTTTTACAAGGCACAGCTGCGATCTGGCTTCCTTGTTGTTGTGTGATTGACTGTCCTTCCAATAGCGAGTGAACATATGATTAGTGGAGCTGCTCGCTGTTCTCATGCTGCTGTCACTTCACATCTCGCTGCTTTAAATTCCACTTCTCTGCTCTTAGCATCTACTCTTCACTTGACTCGCTTGCCTGGTTAACTTACCGTTCTGTCGTGCTCGAAGATCTAGTAGTAACAGTCATATCAAATCTGCAATGTAAATGACGCTGGAAACTTTATTAATTGTGCACCAACTTCTGTCGATGAGACTTAGTGCCGGGGCTGGAGGCCTTGAGATGAGATGTTCATTTACTTCCATTTAACACCCCCCCTTCCCCTCCTTCCCTCCCCTGTCGTTTCTGGCAACCAGAAGGAGAATGCAGGAAAATATAAACTGTTATTGTTAAAATGTTTGTTTGCAAAAGAACTTTCATCTTGTAAGGCAGCCCACCCTCCACAGGATTTGAAATCAGTTGGGCTTTGCTTTCATGTCCGTCCCCTGACAGTTCCATCCTTTTGTATCTCAAGCTCAATGAATATTCAGGGGTTTCTCCTCGGGGCTTGTGTACAATAAAAGAGTCAACGTCACGAAAGTTTCTTTGCAAGCCCCCATCCTCTCCTTTTTTCTTGCTCTGTTTAAAATATATACACAATTGTTGATGTTTGTGCGCTGGCATTATTTAGCAGCTAATGAGTGAGCGATGTTGAAGCTATTTTGTTCCCACTTCAGTTTTGATGTAACTCAATTTGACAACAAATAACAATTTGTGATGTCACATCCCTTGATATAGTGGCGCTTATTGCTTATGTTAACAGTTGTTTTCTTTTTATCACAGGTCAACCAGATGCAGAAGACCGTCATCGATCCTCTGAAAAAGTAAGTGTCTATCTTGATTTCTTGTACTTCTGCTTTTATTTTTATTTTCTTGTTACCGCTCTATTGTAAGGGTTAGCTTTATATGTCTCGCTCTACTAGACCAGGGTCAAATAGTTGTTGACGATAAGTTTAGGGTTTGTTTTGACTTGCAGAGTGGTGGAGTTTTTCACACAAACATTGAATTTAAATGCATTGCAAACTCTCATGAAAGTACTGTAACGGCAATTTAGTTCAGTTTTTGTGGATTATGTGGTAAATCCATAATGACACTCAGGGCAGATTACGCCCCGTGCCCCATAACATTTTTATTATTTGACCCAGCTCTGCTCTTCACAGTGGTAGTGCAGGGCCACAGGAAGGACTGCAGTGTGGTAATACAGATTGTAAAAATGAACTTGGGGAGTGAGTGGTGCTGCTGTGGTGGTAGTGTGTCTGGAAGAAAGTTTATTTGGTTCCTATTCCTAATGCTTGCGCCCATTTGAGAAGGCTGTGAGTGCTATTCCATTCCTTAAGCCTCACTTTTTCAAACATGCGCGGGCGCACACACACACACACATACACACTCACACTGTGCACATGCAAAGCAGACATACTGAAGGGAGTGGTTGGACTATCCCACTCGTCTTCCGGAGCGCTTGTTAAGGTTTTGCTTCCTCCTCTTGGCTCCTCCCAGGAGAGTAGACATATGCTGTGTAAGAGAGCATGTGTGTATGTTTCTATTGCAAGTTTATGTTAAACCCTATAAGCCAGTTAATTCTTTTATTTTATTTTTTTCTCAAAATAACCAAAGTGAAGAGATTCCTCCATAAAACATAAATGGGTTGGGTCAGAGTCTGTGTGTTTGTGAGTGTGTGTGTGCGTGTGTGTGTGTGCGTGTGCGCTAAGCCCTTTCTTCCTCAAATGCTCTGGTGGCGGAGCAATGACAAGATGGAATGGTTCTAATTTCCTCTTCCTGGTGGGCGGCAGGCGGACGTGTGGGCAGGCTCAGAATATGGCAAAGGTCCCAGCTTCCTGGGCCCAGAGCCGTGGATTGGTTGAGGAGGAGAACTGTCTCAGGACAGTGCACACTCTCACACAAACATACACACAAACTCCAACCCTACATTTGGAGGGGGCGCTGTCTTACAAAGTATGGTATTTTAGACCATAAAGTTAGGCATTTACATGATTCTGAAATAGAGCAGAGGAAGTAAGTTCGTAAATGAGTTTTTAAGCCAAGCTAAACTGACCTCTTCATTAACTTTTTCCCTCCTTTAAAACACAGCACTATTAGTTATTAGTTTATGAGTGTCCTCTATAGAAAACTGAGACACAAAAGCTACTATACTTTAAAGCTTCCATTAAGATTCCATTAGTCCATCACTAATGAATATTTTTCATTGTTTACTTAGTCTCAAAATATTCTATTGATGATCTTGTGTCATAAAGAGAATTAGAGAAGAGTTGAAAAGAAGAATGTTAATGTTAATGGAAGACCTTGACTGGGGGGGGTGCGTGTGTGTGCGTGCGTGTGTGTTATGTACGTGTGTTAGGTATGTGCTTGTGTCCATGTGTGATTGCTATTTAAAATTTTGGCATCCATCCTTCATACTTAGTGTGGCAAAACGTACAGTAAACAAACAAAAAAGGGAGCCCTCCACTCCCCCGACTTCTCTCTCTCTCAGGCCCTGACGTGAATTTTATCTACTCAGCGGGGTCACTAAGTGACATCACTGTGTTTGTGGGAGTGGAAGGGAGGGGAGGGGAGTGCGTGGGCATTGAGGCATTTGTGTTATCTCGGCCTACTAACCTAGCCCTTTCTGCTCCGTTGCTCTTGTGGGTGAAACAAAAGTCAAGCCTGTTTTGGAACCTCTGCCCTGGGTTTAACACTGACTGGACCAGCCTCATTCACCCCTCGCAATCAGAGTAAGACTCTGGAGCAGGCTGCGAGGCCTGGCTGACGGGACTATTTGGCCCTTAGCTGTGGGGTGAATGCATCTTTGTGGGCAAGGGTTGAATTTGTCTCATTTTGTTGTGGAATTTTTGTAATGGATGTTTGTTTTTTTTTTTATGCCCAGATAGCAATGTTTGCTATGTGTGAAGTCCTCTATCTTTTTTCTCCATTGTATCCGTTGTATCATGTATCCAGGCTGCATGAGTTGTCTTGAGTTTTGATCAACAAAGCACAAGGCAAGTCGCGGCAGATCAAACTCTCCTTCTGCTGAGACAAAGGAGGTTCTTCTGACATGTACGTCACACACACACGAGTTCCCATGGCCTACTGCCCTTATACCATTTATAAAACAGGTGGTATTTATTTTACATTAACAGCAGACATATTTTAACTAAACTTGCCACATGATGACACTCTCAAATCTTCATCTGAGACTGTGACACATTGGAGCTGGTAATTTGCACATAAACAATTACCTTTGCCATATTTTTGTGGTTTGCTGTGTGTTTTTTGCAGTAGTGAGTTTTTATGGTGGCGTCGCGATAGTCAAGAGGGACAGCCAGCCTCCTAGACCGAGGGTGTCTAGACCAGACTTGGGCTTGGCTGATGGGTCAGACTGGCCTGTCTGTGGATTGGCAGCTGCTCATAAACACACTCTCCGGCCCAGAAGCTATTTCCGTCCAGCCTGTTCACCACACCCTGACCTGTCACATGGACAGTGGCGTGCCCTTGGCCCCCCTGCGGCCCACAGCCAGCTCATTTAGGCAAGACCACAAATGCAGACCTAGCCGGCTGACCGGTAGTTGTCCAGCCAGGGCCAGGACATCGAGGGAAAGAACAAACTATCATTACAAAGTTTGTATATTCACCTTCAACCAGGTCCTCTGCTGCATATTCTCGCGTGGGAGCTTTTGACATGGCTGAATCACTAAAACCTCTGGACACATAGAGCCCTGAATGTAACCGTGAGACATCAACACCCCGCATGGAAATGACAGGAATGGGTTAACAACCAGTTGGCTTTGTTCTGCCTCTTCCTTCTCCTTCAGCGCCAGGAGAGTAACGGCCTTTAAGTCTCTCAGTGTGCTGAAACATAGTAGTTGCTTGCCGTGTTTTCCCACTTTGGAGCACAAACAGCAGGCCTTCATGGTGTGTCATGAGGAAATCGCACCGTGATGTCAGGTGAAGTGCGCTGCTAAGAATGTGATCAGCCAGAAAGCTGGTTTGCTGCTGTCATCCACCAATAGGATTGTGTTGGAGAGCAGTCATGCCTAGAGGGCAGTTACATAATCCCTTGGCTCTTCAAGTATGTGTACACTGGAACAGATAGTAGACTTGAGGATCGGCATCCACCCCTGCCATAAACTGGGCCAAAGTGGTATTTTATAAATAGCGGTAGAGCGTGGGCCGCCGCGGGGCTGGGCTCCGTGATGTCACTCAAACAAGACCACTCCTTGCTCAACTTCCTGTAGTAAACAATCCCTGCTTGTCTGAGCCTCAGTTCAGATCACTTTCTACTTCCTCCTCCTGCCCTCTGTCAAGGTGCACAGGCAGACACAGCTGCGATCTAGGATTTCACAATCAGTCCACAGGTTCTCAGTGGTTCCCTCGTCTGCTGCACAGAGCAGGGCAAGGGTTCGCATGGAGAGGAACGTAAATCATGAAGCCCACACATTTTGTGGCCAGCAACACTATGGACGGAGGAGCGCATAATAAAGAATTGTAGTTGTGTGCCTACACAGTTAATGAAATGCTTTAAATGAGTCATTCAAAAAGGCTGTATCTCTCTTCGTTACAATTGTTTTTATAACTGACTCACATATAGCCAGACACCTGTGTGAATAATCTTGTGGCTGGCTTTTTAAAAGCACTGTCACTGGTTTGTTAGAAAGGTTTAAAAAAAAAAAAAAAAAAGGTTTATTAATGCTCTTCTTGCTTAGTTTGATTTGCTTTTCATTTTCAGCACTGCTGCAGTTGTCTTATTTCCTTTATTGAAAATGGAGCATAACTACCTCGCTTTAAAGAAAAAATGTTGGGCCTTCAAAGCATACTGTATTTTAACGGTGCATACATTTGGTGATACTTTATTCTTTTTAGTTTAGATGTTATCTGTCATCCATTAACTTTCATTTTATTTATTTATTCTTTTACTAAATATTGGGTTGAATATTTCCTCTATATAGTATTCCTGCTTCCCATTAAAAGCCGCCACAAAACCAGTGCAACAAGTCCCAGGATGGAGCTCAGACTCCTGTTGCTAAGTTACAGATGAGTGTTTTCCTATTTTTAGTGCTGAAGACTAGGTTTCTCGTTGCAAGAATATATTTTCATTTGGAATATGATAATTGTCACAAAATGAATTGTTTCATGCCATTTTGAACTACAGTAATTAGATAATAGATTAGAGGAAGCTTAATGCAGAGCTGTCCTCTGGGGTTTGAGAGTACCTCTACAATAAGATGTTGAGCATAGGGATTTTATTAATTCCTAATGACTTTTAATAAGATAGGATGCAATGCATTCTGCATTGCATCCTATCTTACAAATTTCATAGAGCAAGGAAAGCTTCTTTAATGATTTCAGTAACTTTAGTTTCTCCCAGAAAATTCTTCAATCTTTTTTTGAGCACTCTGGTGTGCGTGTCTGGGTGTTTTTTGTTTGCATGTGTTTCACGCTTGTGTGCCTGTGTGTATTTTGTTTTGTGTTTAGTGCCATATTGGTTGTGTCAAGAGATGTCTAAAAGGTTGTCTGTGTGCTGGTTTGGTGCAGGTACAGTGGTGTCTTCCCCAGCCTTAACATGGCAGTGAAACGGCGGGAACAGGCACTGCAGGACTACAAACGGTTGCAGTCCAAAGTGGAGAAGTATGAAGAGAAAGAAAAAACCGGGCCCGTTATGGTCAAACTACATCAGGTACTGTGAGTTTAAATCTTGCAACGTGCACGTGCTGGTCCACTCCAATGCTCCCTCTATCAGCAGAGGAGCAGAGTTCACTTGCTCTTACATGTTGTGCGTGTTGTGAATAGAGTGCAATAAGTGGAAAAAGACACAAATGCTGACTGGATATGAACAAAAATAGTTGAGCACATGCATACTGTACATGTGCGCTCCTTCACCCACGCAAGCTACCAAGCTCTCAAGTAGTGCCTTTTCAAAAAGGCACTGCTGCACATCTACAGGCACGTAATTGAGAATTGTAGACACACACATACACACTATGAGGCCACTACAGAAGCGCACACATTCACAGATAGCGCTGCAGCGTTGCCTATGCTATTGCCTCTAACACATCCTCACATGGCGAGCCACCCACACACATTGAGAAAAGCACTGTCAGGGGAACAAAGCCTTGAAGAGGCCTCTACATCCCTGCCCTTTGAATCCCTGTGCACTTAAAGAAATGATCCTGACAAAACACTCGTATGCGATTTTAACTGGGTATGTGTAAAGTAAAGTAACTAATGATCATACCATAATGTGGCAGATAAACAATATGTTGTAGTTTGAATATAGCAACTCCCCCCATCCCCTTAATAAAAATTCTCACCCTCTCACATATATTCATTGTGCATTCCATAACTCCATGCCTACAGTAGACTACCCACTAATACATTCACACAGATCAGTGGTGCTGGAGTCCACTCACAGCCAAGTCTGCCCACATTACCCACTCCTCCTCACTGTGGTCGTGATTACAGCCTCTTTTTTTGTGCGCTGCTTCTCCGTGGGAATTAGGCAAAATATCTTTCTGAACAATAAGAAAAAGGACACTAAAGATGGCTCCAGTGCTGAAATGTACTTAAAATACTTTAAACTACCTTGTATCTCTTTGCAGCTATTTGTTTTTCTCATAATCTGTAACTCTTTGCACCAGTTCTTGTGGAAGAATGTGTAGAATTATGTTTAAATTATAACATGAGCTGACATGAGTTGAAGTCGGGGGACGTTATGCAAATGTGGAACTGATAGTGACTACTGGTGACCTTTCTTTTGCCCCTCCACACCCCAGGCCAAAGAAGAGCTCCGACCGGTCAAGGAAGACTTTGAGGCCAAGAACAAGCAGCTGCTGGACGAGATGCCCAAGTTCTACCACAGCCGCATCGACTACTTCCAGCCCAGCTTTGAGGCGCTCATCAGAGCGCAGGTTAGTGCCCCCACCCTGAAGATGCACGCACAGCGAGGCGCTTTCACATGCGCACACACCCCCACCCCACTGTGTGCTTGTTACGCCCTCTGAGCATTGGTTGAACAGTGGATAAAGCATCTGATGGAAGGGAGTGTATAATCCTGGCAGTCTGTCTCCCTCCACGCAGTCCTAATGTGATTAACCCCCAGTGACGGCCCACACTACTGTGTTTAGCCCAGGAAGGCCTCATCTGTCTGGCTCCACTGTAGGCAAGTCTTTCTCTAACCTGAAGCTTCTATTAAAGCAGCTGGGCGTCTCAAGTTAGCGCCACTATGTCCCCCTCCCCCCACCCCAGACCTGCCTGGCCATGTCATTTCCTCTTTGGGACAGTCACTGGCACAGTCCTAATTAGCAAACTAGATTATCCAAGGCCTAATGACAATTGTGGACTTGTATGATGTACTTTAAAGTTAAAATTAGCAAACCTAGCAATCAACTATAACCAGCATGAAATATTTCCACAAATCTGAGCTCAAGTCTATTCTCTTTAAAGTTTAAATCACATTTTTTACCTGGCTTTGCATGGTGCAAGAGCTCTTATTAGCCACACTGATGCTATTTTATTATGTCCACATTATCTTTATTCATGTAGCTCACACACATGAATGAGCATTTACCCATGTTTACACACACACACAGCCACACGTGGGTGGCTAGTGGACCTCATCCCCAGCCTTTCTGCATGTGCTCGGTTTCATCCTCCACTCCCTGCTCTCCCAGCCGCTGTTGCTGCTCAGCTCCCAGCGGCAGCAGGAAAAGGCACAAAGGCTGCTTTGTTGTGAGCCTTCAGCTTCACTACCACGAGTCCTGTTCAACGACTGTCAGTGGGACACTTGGCCTGACCTGTCCACCTGTGCAGATGTTGAAGAATTGAGACATTGTCTTGATTTCTTTCCCCTCAGTTTTGCATTCTCTGCTGCATGTGTTCATTGTGAAAAAAAAACAAAAACAAGAAAACCCTACATAAGATTACTTTCTTTGTCCCTTTTCCAGTTGATTTTCTTTGTTTCCTGAAACAGTGGTCGCACATTGTTTAGGACTAACTGGATAGAACTATTTTTGTAGGTTCACAGATAAAAGTGCAACCTCTCTGCATTAATAACAAGCAGCTAGGACTATGGTATGTTAAAATGCCAAGACACAAGTCATGTAAATTAAAGCTCTGCTATACCCAAAGGCTCCTCTTTTTTATCGTAGGTGGTTACAGTTGTGTGAGGCTGCGTTTACTCCTCGTGGTGACTCGACTAATTGTAATAGTAGAGTGTCTTTGCTACAGAGGGCACCCAGACACTGATCTGGTGTACATTATCATCACTGGTCCTATGGACATTTCCGATGGTCCTTTCAACTAGCCACTTTGGGGGGGAAAAATATCCGCTTTACCCCCACAAACAGCAGTAACTGGATACTTATGGCCCACTCATGTGGTTTAGGTGGCAAATATTGGTATAAACATACAAAGGTCTTTCAGACTAAGCACTTAAAAAACGCTTGTAAAATGTGGTCTAGAAACTTGACTTTTTTCCCCATTTGGCTGACAGTGTCAAATATGCCCATGACAGAGTGAGACAAATGCTATTTCTATGTAAGATGTGTAATTGTTTTATTTCCAACTTGACCTCATGACCCTTAGCGAATCAGTAAGCATTTCTCCCACCAGTATCTTGGTTGGTCTTGCTGTCCTAATTTAGACACACACATGCAATTCCAGAGAAGCCAACAATGCCCCCTTAAGAGCACGGTATCGTATACATTGCTGCATGAATAAATATTGAAATGTGTGTGGGGGGGGTTTCAAGGGGTTGTGTTTCTCAGTACTTTCAATCTCTGCCTACTCTTCTGGAGTCTTGTAATGTGATTAAAGTCTATTAATCATCAAAGCAACTCTCTGGGGAGCCTGACTCATGAACTAAGGGGAAGAAGCAGGGGTGGGAAGTGTCAAGAAAGCTTTCAGTGAACACTCTATCTCTTGTTCAGACTGGGAGAGAAAAGCAGGGTCATTACCCACTGAAGTGTTGGGTTTTTGGGGGCTTTGTCAGAGTTGTTTGATATCTGTGGGTTCCCTCTTTCTCCTCTCGAATCACTTCTCATTAGCGGGGTTGAGGAGGTATGAGACCAGCAGCATCCGACTAGTGTAAGTAAAAGCAAGGTTAGGTTGTGCGAGTGGAACAGTTTTTCCTGAGAGGATTGACTCTGTCCAGTCTTTATCGGAGGACAGACAGTCTGTAATGGCAGAAAAGAACAGTCCTAAGTTGTTGTTTTTTTTTTTTCCTTTTTCCTTCCTGCCCCCCAGGTGGTCTATTTCACAGAAATGTACAAGATCTTCAGCGACTTAACAGACCAGATCGACCAGGGGGGATTGACTGATGAGCAGAGGGAGAGGGAGACCGAGGCCAAACTCAGCGAGTTGCGTGCTCTGTCCATTGTCGCCGACGACTGAGGGAGGAAAGCTGAAAAGCGCCTCTCTGAATGGATCATACTCTTATCAGCTTCCTCCGTGCAGTTCAAACGAACAGCAATGGCCTTAACCTGATTATCAGTTTGTTTCCTCGTGGCCTCATCACCCCCATCCCTCCTGCACTACACTTGCCTGTGTCATTCTCCCAGCAAAGACTCCCTGCAACTCCAGCAGCTGAAATGCCACATTAAGTAAGCCATCAGCCAAGTGCAACATTATAAGCCAATATGCTGGAGTTTTTTTTAGTAAAGGAATCAAGTAGTTTTCGTCGGAACTAATTAACAGGGTTACACTTCTTGGTTTCAGCGATGTCTACAAGCATTTGTTTCTAAAGTACAAAATGAGCAAATATTATTACAGTCAGACCTGCTATGTTGCCAACAATCTGTGAAATATAGTTTTTATTACCCGACTTTGAAATTACAAACACTACAGACTCAATGTTATTTAATGTACTGCGGGTTATCGGCAAGAAAATGTATTTCTGTATTTTAGCCTTCGCTGGTTATCTCTAAGTATAGCTGTGTGTTATGTTTTTTTTTTTATAATAATGAAAACATTACCTGTGTATAATGTGCCTACATTGTCCTGACTGTGGATGTAACATGAAAACTAACTTGTGTGAAGTGGCATTGTACCTGTGCAGCAGTGTCGAAAGGTCGACCACTCGGGCTGCCAACAGAAGGGAGTCCCGGTTGAGGTCGAATCACGGCCCAAAACAAAGGCTGGTGCTCCCTCTAGTGGAAAGGGCTGATCATGACACATTTCCTTTTATCCACACCATCCATCATTTGTTCTATTGTTTTGGTTCAGTTAGTCTGTTAGCAAAGAATCTCACACATTGTCGGCAGAAGGTCCTCTCTCTGTACTCTCTACACCAGGGTTCAAAGCCAACCTTTTATTATTTTTTTTTAGAAAGGGGTTTTCCTAAATTTTGGACCAAATCATACTAATGTTGATTGCACTCCTTTGTTTCTACCGGTATCAGGTACTGCCTCAATTTGATGAACAAGTTCTGGTTAATGTGGCTATATGGTGATGAACACACACGGATAGCTCCCATACCATGTTTGTGGATTTGTGAGGTGTCATACCAAGAAGTTGAATATTTACTCCTCGACAGACATTTTGTGATTTTGAAATCATTCAAGCAAATGGATAGTCGATTGCCTGACTTTGTGAGTTACACATAAATAACGGTATTAATGAAGGCGTTTTCTAAATAATTTTTTTTTACACAATAGTGGCTTTTATTTTAGGTTTTTAAATGTATTATCACAATCTGTTAAATAGCAGTGTCATCAGCTGTCATCTTAATTTATAATCAATCATGAAATAAATTAACTGTGGGAATAGTAACCATGTCTACAATCTGCATTTGACTGCGTCAGTGTTGTATTGTTGCCTTCAGTTTAAGTTTGGATACAAACTGCATGTTCCTAAGGTGAGTGCAGGAGTTGTCTATTTAATCACACACACACACGGTCACGATCAGTTACTAATCTATTTCTGTTCAGTTTTATTTTACTGGAATTAGTCAGTCCTGTCCACAAATGTCAATATAAGCAGTATTTACAGTTGAGCCTTTTTCCTTTTCTTTTTTACAAATCATTGCTGATTGAAACCCTCATTAGGTTTAACTTCAGGTATAGGATTATATGTTCAAACTGGGTTACAAAATCAAGATCAGAGATGTTCATGAAGAGCATGACTGCATGGCAATACGAGTGCCCAACAATCGTAAAATACAAACCTACAGTTAATAAGAGCTCTATCAGCAGCATCACCCCAAGTACACTTAGGGTGTCTCGTTAAAAGTCCAGACATGAGAAAAGAACAGGGCAGTGTAAATTAAATGTCTTATGCAGGTTGCTTCTTAATAACTTCTGTGATTCTTATGTCTACAACTAGACAATTTATCAGTTTGGTCCAATTCCCTGTGATTTTTCCATGTGAAGAGTTAATACATTACTGTGCGCAAGAGATGGTAACGTAGATGTGAATTAAAACTTCTTTGAAGCAAAATACCAGTATTCCAAAATATATCCAGATGAGGCACAGCTGGACATTTTTAATGTTCTCCCCGGTGCCAGTCCCATTTCCCCCCCTCCTCCTTATTGGACACCAGTAACCCTTGAATGTTGTGGGTGAATTATTGAGTGGAGTCTTTTCAAATGGTTGTCTTGCTGTACATGCTTGATATTTGTTCCTGAAAGACTCTGCGGATGTCGGCACGTCTACTCTTCAGCGTCGGGGTGAGAAGGCCGTTGGCGATGCTGAATGTCTCTGGATGCAAGTGAAGGTCCTTCACCTTAACAGAAAGAAAGGTGAGACACAGAAGTCAGTATTGTGAGGTTTGGAGTGTGCAAATTTTAACCAAGACCAATGTCAGCAGAGACTCCTCACCTGTTCAAAGGACTTCAGCCCTGCTTCCTTCCCCACAGCTGTCATGTCATCTAATACTGCCTTCTTTACATCCTGCTGGGTGGATCAATAACTCAAGTAAATTGTTCATAAATGCATAGAGTAATGTAAATGTTATAAAATTCATGGTTTACGTGACATACTGGATTCTGGCATAGTTCTTCGTAGGATCCCACAAATCCTCGCTCTTTAGCCCAGTCAACAAACACCTCAGGGTCAGGCACAACTATGCCTATGAGATAAGACTGGCAACATCAAATGCAAGAGAAAATCAAAAAGTTAACTCGTACCGCGGCAAATGTTTTATAATCGAAACCAAGTGAGTGTTGATCAGTGTATAATGTATTGTACCTGTAAACTATCTCCGTGCACAAACACCTGTAGCACAGGAACACAACGGGTGTAGACGTTTTCTATCTTCTCTGGAGCAATGTATTCTCCCTGGGACAACTTGAAGATGTGCTTCTTCCTGTCGATGATGCGTAGTGTCCCATTCTGGCAAAAGAAAAAGGCGTAAAATGCGCACACACACGCACGAGACTAGAAGACCCACAGACTGATTTATTGTGTCTAATCTTACTGGAAGCCACTGGCCCACGTCTCCACTGTGCAGCCAGCCGTCGCTGTCCAAGGCTTCAGCTGTCCTTTCTGGGTCCCTCAGGTAGCCTCTGAACACACTGGGGCCACGAATGCAGATCTAACAGGTCAAAGGCGTGAGAAGAGTCAGCACGCACCAGGCTGTATGGTAATAAGTTTAGCAGGACTGCATCTTTAGACTAACTCACCTCTCCGTCTCCGTTCTTAGCATAGTAGTTCATCTCAGGGATGTCTACCAGCTTCACCATGGCACAGGGCAAGGGAGCACCAACATGACCTGACAAAGACACATCCACAGGACAGGATTAACCAGCACGGGCACGAAAGCATGAGCAATTTAGGGGCAAATGTTAGTTTCCTACCTGCGCTCCAGTCTCCCGGCATAGAGAACGTGCAGCCTGCAGTGCACTCAGTTTGACCGTAACCCTCAAAAATCAGACAGCCCATAGTGGCTCTGAGGAAGGACAGCACGGTGGGGGAGATGGGTGCTGAAGCAGTCAGGGCGAAACGCAGATTACCTCCTAAACTGGCCTGAAACACAAGTGATGCACTATTTATGTAAAATAGTTCAAATAAAAATCATATTGCAGTCACAAGTAAAATTCCATTTTAACAGCATTTTCAACCTAGACCATATTTTCCCATCTGCATTGACCATAATGAGCCAAAATCTTTCTGTTCTTGCTCGCCTGTATGCCTGCTTCTCCAATACACTCCCACAGGACCAATATGCTCTGGGTGATTTTGGCACTGATTGCTGGAATACTGCTTCTCTTGTAAAGTTTGGATACAAATGTATTGACTATTTGCAGAGCTGCTGGTCTACATGTAACACTGTGTTAAGTAGTGCAAAAATATAAATAGTGACAATTGTAGAGTCCTGGATTAACAGAAAATATGTAATTAAAGACTGAAAACCAATGTGGTAAAAAAAATAAACATTCTTTGTTTGGGGGTTGAAGAGGCCACTGGTCCTGTAGGTCTTTATGGGAGACCTACAGCAAAGGAACTGGAGCTTTCAGCAACTGACCTGAATCCTGTTGAACACCAGTTTGTCCCAAAGACTGTTGTTACGTACAATCCCACTATTGAGCTCCGCCTGCTTTCTCCTCACAGCGTAGTGAAGCAAAGCCCGTCGCAACGGAGAGGTCACAGAACCCAGGATCTTTATAGGGAATAAAAAAACGTTGAAAATATACACAAACAAGGTTTAAAACATAACCAACCAAGACTTATGGTAGCCTAAGTGCTAGATAAGGCAGTAAATGACAAGATGTGAATCCAATTACCGACCTTGTCATAGATGCGATTGAGTAAACGAGGCACAACAGGAAAGAAGGTAGGTTTCAGAGTTTTAATGTCATCCATAAGAAGAGAAATGTCGCCTTGGTAGAATCCTACTCTGGCCCCATGGCAGAACATGGAGACCTGTGACAGAAATGGACTTAATTTAGGGTTTGCACACAAACACACCCACATTATAAAAAAAAAAAAAAAAGTCTGAGAAGAGGATCAACTACCTGAATCATCCTCTCAAACATGTGGGCAAGCGGCAAGTAAGAGATCGACACATCCTCTTGTTGGAAGACAAACGAACCCTGAGAGAAAACAAGAAACAAAATGAGCAAAACACAAGGGAGAGATAAAGTTCAGGCAGCAGCTCACTGCAAAGCCTCGCAAGGCAATCAGACATGCTGTATAATTTTTTCAAGAGCAGTTAGATAGCAGAATCTTTATTCAGGGGCAATTAGTTAAAGTACCTCACAGCGACAGGGGCAATCAAACAGCCAATTAATCATACCATTAGACACAGCAGGGAGAGGGACAGTTTTGAGATACAGAGACACAGGCAGATGGGAAGTGATGCTAGCTGTGAGGCTGTTCTCAATTAGACAAGGAGGTGGAAGTGTAGACAGACCTCCAGGATCTTAATGACAGAGGAAGTGTTGGAGGCGATGTTGCCGTGGGTGATCATGGCTCCCTTGGGCTTCCCTGGATAAATAAACAAGACATTATTGCAGTGCCCTGCGCAGCAAAGGAAACTACAGCTGTGCCATAAAGAGAGGTTGTTAGTGGGCACTGAAGGACACTTCTCTAATGATGTGAGTGAAGGATAATTACGCAGAGTCGAATAAAATCAGACGGTACCTGTGGTTCCACTGGTGAAGCAAACCACGGCCAAATCCTGAGGCTGGGGCGGCTACAGCAGGCAGCAATAAAACATGAGAATATGACAACAGCCTTCCTCCACTCTTAAATTTAAACCATGTTTACAAGTGAGTGTTAATGACATCTTATAGGACAGAAGCAACAATAAAACTGTCATCCTAGCATTTAGAGGGGGATTAGCTATTTACTGGAACCAGTTTGATGCGGTGATGTAGCAGCTGAGAGACGACAAACTCACCACAGGATCTTTGAGGTTCCGCCTTCCCAGGTCCTAAGATGTGGACAAAGAGGAGTTATTCATATCAATTTACATATCACCATCGATGACTGAATTAAAAGGAATACATTTAAATGAGTCCGCATTATAGGGATTGAGTACTTCCACCCTGCTCACCATGAGCTGCTCCAGTTTCAAAACCTCCACCTCGCAATTCTTCGCCCTCTCCACAAACGCATCACTGAAATCGCTAAAGAGAACCAGGCAGGAGAGCTTCGGAATCACGCCTTTCTCCTTGTTCTCCAACAAAGACACTGCTTGTCCTCCCGGTCACAGATCACCAGCGAGATCTCCGCTAAGGACGCACCACGACACACACATGAATTTATTTGGTCCCGTGCAGGAAAATTCAAGTGTTACAGCAGCAGAAATACAAGAACTGACGCATAGATAACTTACTATAACTACTACTATATACACACAAAGGAAGCATAAAAAACTAAAATAAAAAAAAGGTACTAAATACTATATATACCAACAGAAATAGTAGCTAAAGCTAAATAAATAGTGCACAGTGTGTTAAAAACTGACATTGTGAACAGAACAAACAGACAAATCACTCGTTTTCTCCTCAGCCTTAGAAAAAGTTCCAGTCTTTTTAACAGACAATAAAAAATAAACAAAATTAAAATCACATGACTGCACTTTGGGTCCAAACATCTAACCTGTGGGGCACAGTAAGTACATTATCTTCCACTCCACTCCATTTATCTGACAGCTAGAGTTACTTTAAATTTGCAGATTTAAGATTTTACATTGAAAACATAATAAGCTTATAAAATACAATTCATTGATAAATATTAAATCAGTGGTTCACAACCTTTTTGACTTACAAACATATATGAGATGTGTGTGGCTGTGTTCACAATCGCACACCAACAGACTACTGAATACTGAATACTGATACTGAAGTAGGACGTCAGCTTGAGTATGTAGTACATTCCAACTGCATAGTATGTGGATTTTGTGTATGCGCAAATCCCCGGATGTATACTATTAGCAAGAACTTATGTGTATGCGTTGCGTGCTTACTGGATTTAACCAGCCCGAAATGCATCACATCTCTACAGACTATCCAACTGCGATCACGTAATGCAGTCACATGACTGTTGCCTGAGTATACTTCAGTGTGAACAGACTGCTGGTACTGTAATGGCATACTTAATTGTTCAGTTAGTAGGCAGTACATACTGATTGAGCATCTAGTATGCAGTATGTTAGTATGCAGCCTGTGAGTTGTTAGCTGTGACAAACAGTGATTCCCCCTCTTCATATTCGTTACTCCATTTATCACATGCAGAAACAGTAATTTTACTTTTTATACTTAAGTACATTAATCTCATAATGTACTTCTACCCAAGTAAAAGCAGTACTTTTACCTATAATGAAGTATTTGTACATATACTCCTTTTACTTAAGTAAAAGGGTCTGGGTTCTTCTTCCCCTGCTGTAACCAACAAGGCCTACACCCAATTATCTCCTACATTGTCAGAACTCAGATTTTATATTTTCTTCAGTGCAGTTGCAAATATGCACACAGTTTGCAAGACTCTCAGACTCCAAAATAATATTCTAACGGAAGGGACAATGTGTGTTTCCCACCACTATGATCTTGCATAGTGGAATAAAGTCTGATTTGACATGGGAGGCTGGCAGACAACCCAATAATGAGATATATGGTTTATATTTTGTGGTGAACTATTCATTTTATAATAAAAATACATTTTCATGAAGGTTGTCTCACCCAGGTTGAGTATGTGGACCATGGCTTCCAGACCCAGTGTATCATACAGAGGCACCACCACCATGGAGTAGGTGTAGCAGGCCAGCTCTGAGATGATCCACTGTCACCAGCAGAGGGAGACAAAGCAGCAAAGTCATACTCCTCTCCGGTCTACACACACCATTGAGTACATGTTGAGTTAGACATCTAAACATTGTGATCTGTATTACCATGCATGCCATTTATATTTACAAAACAAACAAAACAACATTCACAATATAAAACACAGAGTGTAGATTGGTTTAATGAGAGGTTAAGGGCTCTGATGGAGCAGAAAATTATTTTTCACCTTCAGACTACACAGGAATTACAATGCATGACGGATATATTATGAAATGGGTTTGGGAGCAGACATGCGCCAATATTAGCTGCCCTGGAGACCCACTTTCAGCAGCAGCACTCCGCTCTCAATATGAATAAAAGGAAACACACTTGCAGGGCAGACACAGACAAAAGCAAACCATAATTTTAATTTTCAGAAAAGAATGTGATCCTTAGCTCCAAGGATAAGAACGAAGCTTATGGAGATGTGTGTACGAGAATATATTTCAGTTCAGGTGAAATACAATTTTGAACTAGAGGACTGCTTAGAGGCTCAAGGATCAAAATCTTGACTAGAGGCAAGAGCCATGCACGTCTCAAAGGTTATCTAGTTATCTAGACCAGTGAGGGAACAAGCGCCACGCTACAAAATAGTGATGAGTCCAAACCTCTGGTCTGTTTTGTGCAAATATCCCGACAAACTGCTCCAGATTCGACTTGCAGCCTTTGGCCAACAGCCCAGAGCCCAGCACCTGCGCCTGCTCAGCCACCTGAAGAGTTGGAGACGCTCAGTCAACAACCAGCAACAGATGACACAGAGGTGCTATGACTGGAGATCATAATACTAAAAAAAACGTTTCAGACCTCAGTGTAGGAGATCCACTCGTAGGGCTGCCCTGGCTTTCTGAAGCCAAGACATGGGCCATTTCCTGAGGAACACAAGACAGCTGTGTCAAACATACTCAACATTTATAGTAGGGCATCTGTGATATCTTGCTTTTTCGCTTTTTGGACTAAATGTCTTGAATATCACAATTCTGCTATGACCTACATCAAGTGAAACTTGTGATGTAAGTTGTTGAGCTGACTGCTACAGCTACAAACAAGCATGGAAAATATTTTATCACGCTCCAGTGGAATTAAATTGTAATGAGTAATTAGTCATTACACCACAGTTGACTAAATGAATGTTGTTGAATGAACAAATGAATGAGTTAATTAATTATTGAAACCAATTATAAAACATATTTTAATTAGACTTTGTGTAGACTTCAGTGTCACTGACATAACTGACTGTTTAACAAATGAGTTTTACTTTGACTATATATCAATAAATTATTTTTGGCTGTTGAGATATTTCATCCATTTCCACCGCACTGACTGTGAATTAATGATTTTGCTTGAAATCCTTCTAAATGTTTTGTCCAGAACATAAAAACCATCTTCCCTTTTAGCAATAGTTGATTGAGGGTGCTGTTGTGTTAATGCAATAGGGGTCGATAGCCTAAGACTAAAAGGGCTTTAATATTTTATTCTACCAACATAAACATTTCTTTGATATGATTACGCAATACAATTTAGGCTAAAGTTAAGTGAAAAGTGTTGTGAATGTGTCCCTTGTCACCACCTGTGATCCTCAGGCCTCTCTGGAACATGTCATAGGCCGTCTTGGTGTCATCGTAGTAAAACTCCATCAGTGTGTCATCTTTAAGAAGAGCCGATCGCCTGCAGCTGGGATCTCCCTATAACAAACATGCCTATCAAACACCTTAATACACTCCCACGATAATTACATGTGCCATTAACACAAGTCTAAACGTTAGGATGCCAATAACAGCGGCTGTGATCCACTCACATTCACAGCCACGGACTGGGCTTGCAGATCGCAGGGGGCACGCATGGGTCGAGGACGGGTCACCAGCCAGTACGCAGTGAGAGAGGCCAGGGCTCCTAAACCCAGCAGAGAGGAGGGTGACAGCGACAGGGAGGACAGGGAGAAGGAGGACAGAGGCAGAGATGGCAGAAGACTCCAGAAGTCCTCTGATTCAGACCCTTTGAGTCCCGCGCCGGAGCGAAGTGACCGTAACCACTCCCCGAAATGCATAACTGAGAGAAGAGGACATAAACAAGAGAAAAAAAAATACCCAATAAACGTGAAGCTATATGGTGTATTAACATCACTAAAGCTTAATTGTGTTGCAATATAAAACCTGCGGCATCTCCTGCAGAGGGCACCACACAGTAAACCTGCAGCAGACAGAATCAGGCTCACAGAGCCAGTATGTTCCTTTTACAATGTTTTTTAATGGTATTTATTCACTCATTATTCAATCTGGTGCAAGTTACTTTCTTCACCTCTTGTGCTGTGATGCCCTTTGTAATTGCCTTGAACAGTTGTAGCAGTATTGACAGGGACAGATACTTACATCAATTAACTAATTAATAAACTTTAGACCCCCCCCATTAATATTACACACATATATACGGTTTTATCTATTCATTTTATATATTTTTATAACACACGTTACTGTGTCAATAACTTTATTAAATTTGATTTATTTTTACACACACACACACACACACACACTTACTGTTTTATTTATTTACTTTTTTATATTTATTTTTACAGAATGTTTATATTTTAATTATTATATTTTGTATCAACACACAAAAACAACTTTTGCCGTTTTATTTTCTTATCTAATGAAATGTATGAAATTAATTGTCCTTATGTGCTTTATATATAGCTTTGGCAATATTGTTGCTATACATTCATGCCAATAAAGCTAATGTGAGAGCGCGAGCGCACGCCTGGCTCGGGCACCCATGTAGTCATGTTCAAAAAATTACTAACTGGTAAATATCTGATTTTTTAAACTCCCAAATATCAGTATCTGCCTCAAAAATCCTGCATCGGTTGGGCCATACAACAGATTGTTTTTTCAATTAAACAATTGTTTGGTCTGTAAAATGTCCAAAAAAAGTAAAAAACAAAAATGACCATTTCCCAGAGCCCAAGTTTACATCTCCAAAGTGCTCGCTTCTGCCCGTGTCCTCACATTTGAGAAGCTGGAACCAGTGAATGTTTGTCATTTGCTTAAGACTTAAATGCATTATTAATTATATAAACTCACTACAATTGTATAAATGAATAATTGATCATATTCCCACTGTATCAGTACTGGAAAATAAGATTTAGCATTGCACTCCTATGGACAGAACCAGAGATAGACAGGTTATCTTTTTTATTCTTCCTCGTCAAAATCTGGTGCCTACGTTACCCACAATGCAGCTCACCCAGTGTCAGTTTGGTTAGAGACTCTGGTGTGTTATGCTGGTAGTAAAGTTTGATGTAACAATCTCTCCACCACAGTAAAACTGGAAAAAAAAAAAAAAGTCAGGTTAAAAGGCTGAAACACACTGGGCCACAGCCTTGGCACCGCTCAGAGAGAGAAGAGAAGAAAAGGTCTGAGCTGTATAGATGGGGCGAGAAGGGGGGCGGTAGGGAGAGGGTGTGGGGGGGGGGGGGGGGGGGGGGAGAGACACCAGGAAGTAATAATGATTGGCTTAACAGAAACAGGCACCGAGGTTACTCTCAGTCATGTTGTGCCACTCTTTCATTCATTCATTTAAAAGAAAGAGAGAGCGAGAGAGCGACACACACACACACACACACACACACACACACACACGGGGTGCATACAGTAGCGAGGGGCTGGTGGTGAGGGGGCCACCCCCCTGATTCACTGCCAGCGACTTTATTGTTCATATCAAAACAGAATGAATGACAGAGAAAGAGGGAGGGGAAAGGAAACTTGAGACTGATCTATAACATCAAAACAAACTCCCGACAGCGCTCACCCACACACAAACTGAAAAACACGTCACCCATAAAAATCTCTGCTTTCCCACATCCATTTAACTCCCCTCCCCTCCCCGGACACCCCTCAACCTCTCACCCACTTTCTCCCCCCAGAGTACCCAATAAGAGAGGGGATAAAGAGTGATATCATACCCCTCCCTCCTCTTTAACCAGGCCGCTCCTGCACTGCTTCTCTTCCCTGCACAGGCAAAGGGATACAGCACTTGTCCTCAGAGGATTCATAATCTACTTTAAGCATCAGTTTATCTGAATTAAAACTACTCCGTTGCCACTTTACACCTGCTGGGGCAACAAAGCAGCTGGTGATCCCCTTGAGTCCTCTCAATAGGTAAATAAATGGAAAACAAAGGGCTTTATGAAATGTGAAACATCACAAAATTGAGTGCGCTTTGATGAGAGCTTCCTGTCTCTCCCCATTGCTCCCCCCCGTTTTCACTCCCATTCATAATGGCTATTGTCAAGGCCCAGACAGGGACCATTGTGTTCTAAGCTTTTACTCCCTGGAAGAAATGAGACAAAAGAAATGGCACACACATGTGAAAATATACTGAAGGAAAACAAATGCATCTTCACAGCCTGTGCCAGTCCCTGCCGGGGGAGAAAAGGCTGGATGTTTCAGTGGTTCACAATTTAATTTAAATTCAAGGGGGCTGATTGCATAGCAGGGCACATTATGTGGAGTCACGTTATTATATAATAATAGCGGATTATAAGTGTTTTGGGGATAAATGATGTTTGATCCAACAAACAAAACAATGTAAAAGTAGCAATATACTGACATCCTGCTATGGAATGCACACAAAATGCCATAAAAAATAAAAAAAACAACAGGTTCACAAGAAGTCGTCTGATGTGTAACAGGTAGCCTGAGGCAGTCTGCATGTCTGTGCGCATTTACTCCAGCTGACAAGCAGAGACACCGACGAGAGCGCAGAAGGTATTCAAGGTTACAGTGTGCACTGTGTGACAGAAAGAAAAAAAAACAAAAAATATGAAAGCAATGTAGAATTGGGAGTGCACAGAAACCAAAAACTGGTTTAGAGACAAATCTGGCATTTAATCAAGGATAACTTTAATGAATTAAACTGTCAAATGTCTAGTACACTGCATTCTGAGTGCGCTAAAACACAATGAGCCTCACATAAAGTGAACTAGGAGAGGTGAAAGACTGGGAAAAATTACTGAAGAGTTTACACATTAATTGTATAAGTAATATTAGTCTTAGGTCAAATCAGGGCTTAAATGTAGAAGTTGGGTATTGTGAGAGAAACCTTTTCAGGGTTAAGGTAGCTTCATCATAAGCTTTTAGTACGGTAATAAGTAGAATATATCTCTACAACTTCATCAGCATAGTCAGGTGAAGCCTACTTGAATAAACAAATGCAAAAAAAAAAAGGAGCCAGCGACAGAAGTCCATATAAATTCAGTAATGAGTTGCCGTTTCCGACATTTTCTTATTCAATTAAACTTAAAATATGGATTTGGTCAACTAGTACAGCCCCGATTAAGTAATATTCTATGCAGGAATTTTGCTTTTGAGGGAAGAATAAGTCCCTGGATTACATGTAGAGTGAGAAGAGTACAGTAGCCTACAGAGCTTCTGTGGTGATGAGAGCAGTGGTGGAGAATGATCCCCCTGACCTACAAAACTACAGGAGGTGACACAAGGAGGGGGGAGGATTTATGGGGGAGGGAGAGAGAGGCGACAGCATTTTGTACCCATAACCAGCAGCAGCAATGAACTCTGCACACTTTCCATGTGCCCAGAGAAGTGAATGGTCTGATTGGGAGTTACGGGGTGGGGGGACGACACGTGAGGCTGGCCGGGGCAGAGAGGGGGAAACGAGAGAAAGAAAGAACGAAACGCACGGGTGTTTTCTGGCTGTGATTCCCAAATGAAGCGTGAAGAACACAGACACACACTTGGTCACAATAAAGTTTTTCTTGTCAAGAAGGGAGGAGAAGAATAAATGAGCAACCACGCATCCTGCACATAGAGAACACCTTCACTTTCCACAAGACAGTCCAAGTCTCGTGTGGTCTCAAATTCACTTCAGACCAATCAGAATCAGGACTCCCAGACAATGCAACACTTTCTCTCCAGCCTCAAGTTTTTGGTTTCACGTACCTAAGCAGCACCAGGTTCAAACACCACCACGCAAGGGTCATCTTCCACATTTAGCTTTCTTGGCACTGCACCCCATAGGTCAGGTTTGAATCTAGTAGCTCTGCATGGTCCTGCATGGCCCGGACACACAAACCTCAGCTGCCACACTGCACTGTGTTAGGGTAGACTGGATATGGTTGCAACACTTTGTGCTCCAGCAACTATTACTCACTGAATTTTGTAGCTAGAGTTCTCAAACTTTTATACAAAGTACGCACATTTGTTCAGTACAAATGGCACCAATTCAATCCTCTACAAGTATTTCACAGACCTCATGAGTTGATGTCAAATGCAATGTGTTCCCTTGTTACAACCTACCCCACTAGGTTGTAACACATGCTGGGTAAGTTGTAACAATAAGACAAAAGTAGCAAAAACAGATGCCACACTATGATATGCTTAAAAAACAGATAGTGATAAAAGAACAATGTTTCTCTCTCACTGTAACAGACTTAGTATGGTGACTCATGCACATGTGTGTATGTTAATGCATCTATAGAATAAACTTACTTAACAGTATCCTTAATAAATACTACTACAATGAACTAAATTAAAGAACAGACTAAGAATCTTTGTACATCCTTAGGTCTAACAAACAAAGAGGTGTGTGTGGTGTCAATTTGTGTATATTCCTAATCAGAATCACAGTCAGTGCTTGAACTGGGCCGGTGCTCACCAGTACGCAAAACAAGCACTTTTGTATTTTACTCTTTGGCATAGTGAGACTTTTTCTTGCGCACTGGAATTTCTCACAAGCTGCCTGTACACTTCTCTGCCATCTCCACTGGCGGAGACAGAGTATGGAAAAGGTTGAGTGCCGATAAACACGCCAACCTGTGAACTACATGTGAATGGGAAGTACTGGTCACAGTGCTGACAAAGGAATGCTGGTAACCCTGGATTGCAGGCTCCGTGGGCCCAGACTGCAAAGGGTACTCTGTAAAATATTAAAATCAAGAAAGTCCCTAGTTGTATGCATAGCACTTTTACAACTCACCCCACCCCTGTCAGCCATTGTTTAGCTAGCTGTTTTAGCATAGTGGTTTGAAGTTAGAAAGGGGAAAAAATGCATCACATGTTGCCTAAGAAGCTACATTATAATCTAATATAAGTCAAACAATTATATCTGCATTAGTACAGATACTAAACAAAATATAGTCTTGCTCAAGAAAAAATTACTTTCTGACCTCAAATCTGTTTTTTCCTCTATATAGTCTGAATGTGCCAGTTTCCAGACTTGATAACCACCATGCCTGATCAGGGAGGAAGTAGGTAAATACTGAAATGATCACCTAACTCCTATCTTATCTCTAATTGGTGGAATTGGTGTTGTTACAGCTCTCCCCAGAGCTGGCATCTGGCCATGTGGACAACTTCAAACATGTTGCATGACTCAGAATACAGGGTTTCATGCAGGTAAAGTAAGACACAAAACCAAAACAGGCACATGATGACATGCATAAGAATGTGGTTTGACAAAAGAATGTCAGAAAACCTACAGTTCAGGACAGTTCATGGCTGAAACACTCTCGAACCATAATTATCCCCAGCTGGGATAAGGGACCAAACACCACAGCAGTGTGTTTAAAGCTACACATATGTGCACCACAGTTCTTCTAAAGAAGGGCGTACTCTGCAAAAAATATATATAAAACTTAAAGTCTGCACTATAGCCTCAAGTATTTCTACCACACACAATGAGGTCCATATAAGATAAAGTTTCAGTTGAGCAAAGGCTGAATGCACAAATCTCATAAAGTAACATAACTTGATTTTTAAGAACCACTTCATTAATTTTTCTTAACTCAGCAAGGCCTGTATCACCACTGGATCAGTTGAAGGCAACAATGAATTCTTTAAAACTTATATGCAATAGTTTGTTAACAGGTTGATTCATCACAACTTTGTCCAGAGTCAGCAGGCAACTCGGTAGCCGGGAAACTCAGCGGGCTGCAGCGCAACCTTTCTTATTTTTAGATCGGAAACCTAAGACGTCGTAGTTTTGATATGTTTCTGTATCGAATTGAGGCGACTGAAAACAAAACAAACAACAAAGAAAGAAAGACCAAACGGGACTTACCTCATGCAGGCCGCCAACGTCTCCTTGGATTGCTCTCCAAATTTACTACTTAAATCATGTGTCCACGCGTCAAGTTAGAGACGATATACTTATATTTCCGGTCAAATCATCAAAATAAAACATTTTGATGATCAAGCATCGTGCTTTAATCAGTCAAGGCCTAAAGTTCACCTATAGACAGATCATTTAAAAAAGAGAGTAAGTATGTTATTTTTTATTCCACCACTACTTGGCATGTCACATTTCAACATTATAGCAAACAAATGCATTTAAGAAGAAAATGTGTGAAAAAACTAATTTGACACGATGGAAATGTGAATGCTTTAACAGCAAAGGTGTCACTTTGTGTTAAAAAGTGGTGGAACATAAGGGCTCAGATTAGGGGTGTGAAGATTCACAACATTGGGGTCACGAGAACAAGACAAAAAAGTATGGGAAATGGGAAAATTAAATTTCTTAAGCTGTGTAAAGTGGTGGAATGTAACAAAGTACATGTATGTCAACATTGTACTGTATATGTCGATTTTATGCTACTTTATACATCTAACCCATGTACTTTTGTGCGTGTGCTTATATAAGTACCAATGATCTACCCAGTAGTATACAAAGTATCCACATAGGCTATGATAGGCTTCACAATGACAAATTACAACATTAAAATGCTCTATCTATTTGGTGATTAAAAGCAGAGTAATATAATATTGTATAATAATAAAACATGAAAAGAGCCATTCTGCATAATAAATAATTTTTCATTTAATCTTTTGAGTACATTTTGCTGATAAATGGCCTACTTCTTTATTTGCAATTCAGGACCTTTTCTTGAGATTAAGTATTTCTAAACTACGCTATTTCTACAGTATTTTGAAGAAATATTGAATGCTGAAATATATATGCGGGTAGTCTGGGTGTCCTCCTCCAGAGGATTTTAAGCATTAAGCAATTCACTTCTTGCATTCTGGAGAAATTTTCTGCACCAATTCATGGTTGACATGTCTTTATGGTGACGTTAAAATCGCATAACTTCCTGTGTTCATCTATCTACCTTTCTGTGGCTTGACGCTGTTCTGAGTGACTGGGCTCTGACGTAGGATTCATGCATTTTAGGAAGAGATCAAATAATGTTGTTGTTTTACGCACCCCCCCCCCCCCCCCCCCAAAAAAAAAAAGTGATATTGAGGGAGAGACAGCAGATTTAAGAGGAAAGAAAAGACATTGTGATGCAACTTCTTTGTTTACTGAGTGACATTCAACAGTCCAACAATACATCACTGAACTCTTAATGTTTAGAAATCTATAGACATTCTACATCAAAAACAGTCTGAGCTCAACACAGTAGGCAGCATGGTTCATTTATCAAACAATATCTGCGGTTACTGATACTGTCAGGAAAATATTATTAGCCTGAAAATATAATTTATTCCTGATGGCAGTAAGACTACGGACAGTGAATCATTCATGAGGACTAAACTGAAGGTTTGTCTTTGTCCAGTTCACAGCTGATCTGTCAGAAATCATCCCAGTTTGTGCACAGCTCCACTGAGCCCTTGGTGTAATGACCACATGTATTGCTGTCCAAAGGGTGCTTGACCTGAAATACAAAAGGTAAAGTAGATCTATTCACTGCAACAAGATTATCACAAAACAAAAAATTATAACCTAACTGAACATGTCTTACTTTGGGAATAACCGGTGGGTTTAATGTGCCTTTACAAAGCCCGTCCCAGTTGAAACCTTCAAACCATCTGAATAAAAACAGAGCATCACAACCTATAAAAACATTTTGTCTAAGTACAGGTCTTAGTGTTGTTCTTCTGTATAATAAATCTGTCTTACTTGTGCTTCTGAATGCCCTTGGTCCCATTTCTCTGACTGCCCAGCCTCTCTGAGGGATTGCTCCTTGGTGATGGAAAGCAAACAAGAACATGCAAATAAATAAACTATAAATTAATAATCAAATTGTGTCATTCAAGGCATGGCGTCACAGCAGAGTTCGTGTCCAGTATGCCTGCACCATTTCATTATCTGCTGATCTGTTTGTGTGTGTTGGGGCTGGAAGAGGGGAAATACAATGGTGGGTGGATAGAGATGTTTCTTATGTGTGAAAAAGCACCATAAAATAACTACAAAACATTAGCTATCGCATTATAATTCATGGGGTGTCGTGAGGAATATTTACAACACCTGCACAGTTTCTTTATGAGACAGGATGCACTTTTGCTGATGGTTTTTGGGAAGTCAATCTGATCAATACCGCAAATGGTTGCAGTAAGAATCTTCATCGGGTCAGACCCGCCAAATGGGAGTCTGGAGAGGAAAAAATTAGACTATCATCATCACTTCAATCTACAACTGGAGAAATGAGCTAAAAAAAAAAGTAGGGCTGCACAAAACTGTAAAACTTACCCACCACTCAGAAGGTCAAACACAAAAACGCCCAGTGACCAGAAGTCTGCAGATTTGTTATGGCCTTTGTTTAAGATGATTTCAGGTGCCATATATCCTAGTGTACCACAGAATGTCCAGGTTTTCTGGCCCACTTCGACCCTCTTTAGACATCTGGAGCCAATCTACAAAAGGCAGATATATCAGAAGATTCACAGTTGCCTTTGGTAAATTTCAATTAACTACTCAAAATGTGGACCTAGGTTTGTAACCAATTATAGTACCAATTTGGCATAACCATGCTTATCCAGAACAACATTTTCAGGCTTGACGTCTCTATAGATGACACCTCGACAGTGAAGAAAAGTCAAGGCCTCAACAACACAAGCTGTGTAGAATCTGGTGCTGCATTCATCCAAATATCCTCTGAAACGATATGTGGAAATGCTGATTTAAGCATCACAGCCAACAAAACAAATGTGTGATGTAGACAGATGTAAGACTTCACACTCCTGTCAGACTTAAAATTGCATTGTGATGCAAGCTTGGCTACAAACACACACACACACACACACACACACACACACACACACACACACACACACAAAGGTAGGACTACACAGAGGTAGGACTATGAATACTATAAAAAAAAGAGCCTTGCATCTTAATTTTCTTTAGTCCAAAAATACTTACTTATCATTGAGTAGGCTACATAAATCTCCACCAAGACAAGCTTCTGTCAAAATGTATAGGAACTCAGCGTCTCTGAAGGTTTTATGTAGCCTGTGATCGATAAAAATATTGCAAAGTGTAAAAAATCATTTACATATTATGTCTTTAAAACAATCCTAATTAGATAACTATTGAAGGGCAAACACCTGACTATGAATGGACAATGACTCTCCATCAAGATGCGCCTTTCTCTCAGGATGTGCTCTTGTTGACCGTTGTTGAGGATAAGCTTCTTCTTAAGGACCCTCATGGCAAAAAGACACTTGATGTTGCTCTTCAGTTGCACCTTACAGACGTGGAGATCAATAGATTACATTATAGAAACATGGAATCTCAAGGAGGCCGCGGCACAGGGGGTCTGTGTCAATGTGTGTGAGCTGCTATGAGATCAACCCTTACCAGGTCTACGTGACCAAACTCCCCAACTGCTAGACTGCAAATTATCTGGAAATCACTTAAGTTGGAAGATGAGAGGAGTTCAGGATCCTTGTCTGACCTGCTCGCAAGGAAAACAGAGATGAGCTTATATCTTCTTTTACAGGCGCAAATCACATGTAGTTGTTGTAGAAAATAGTGTTGTAATGCTCCTCACTCGCTTTTGGAGTCATGGCTTGGCTGCTCCTTGTGACTGCAGTCAAATACCAACCCGCCAATGATGTCTTTAAAGGTCCTGAAACACAGAAGCATATGAATGTTCTCCAATTCTCAATTTAAGAGCATAGTATAGCAACCAAATCATTTTTTTCCAATGCAGTGAATTTTATTAACACAAAACATCCACTTACTCTCTGTCTATGAACAAGCATGTGACTTCACCAGCAGCGATCACATTCGCAGTCCGAACATCCTCTCTAAAGACAGAGCGAAGCGAGTATCATAAGAAAATCACAATGTTATAAATGCAAACACAACATATAAAAAAGAAAATCATTGATCAAGCTGACACAAATTACACTTTATACCACCATGTGCAGTTTTTAATAAACGCTCTTGAACATTCTGCGTAACCTCATCTGAAAGTGTGTTATTTCCTCCTTACCCCCACAGAGCTTTTTCTCCAAACCACTGTCTCTCAGAGAGCTTAGAAAGGACTATCTGCTCTTCATGACATGGTTTCTCTTCTGTCACTTTCACCTGGCAAATCCAAAACGAGAGAGGAAATGAGACAGAAGTAATGCTTGGGAATAATATAGAAATGAGCCAAAGTCAATAATCACCATCCAAATGCAATTTCTAAAGCTGCGATGACATTTTGTCCCCCGCAATCTAAATCTTTTTCTCTGAAAGCCTCATTTCATCTGTGCAGCAGGCAGAGAGCATAACACTTTACCTGGCCTTTGCTAATGATATAAAAGGTGTCTCCTGTGGTCCCTTGTCGTATGATGTAGTCACCTTCAGCGTAGTGTGCCTGTAGAACATAAATGGCAGATGGAGGAGCAAACAGTGGAAAATCAAAACAAAAGAGGATGAAAGGAGAGCATGTTATAAAGATGACGGCTGGTAACAATGAAGGATTTGTTCTGATTTCATCCTAACACCTGCTTGTTAACTGCTACGACGCAAGGGAAAGCTGAAAATAGAAAAGGACTGCCTGTAAACAATCAATATTTACATGCGTTCCATCTGTGTCCACAAATAATCTATTGGCTGGATTCTGTTTGAAGAACAAGTGATAGTTACACATCACTGTGCTTTAGATTTTAAGCACTTAATCTGTACCTCCTCCATGAGATCAGACATTTTCATGATGACATCCTCTGGCAATGAGCGCAAGAAGGGAACGCTGCAGACACACAGGTACAAGGAACATGCTAACATAACATCCACAATGACAGCTTTGAAAAGGGTTTGATTTCATTTTCACACAGTTACTGGGTGCCGTATTCAGAAACATATCATAGGAGTGTTGATATTTTGTTCAGGCCTAAATACAGCATTGTGGTCGCAGTATACAAAATAGGTATTTAGCATAATTACAATTACAATTATAATATCAAGAATTGGTCTGTATATAAAGTAGCAATACAAAAGCGGGTTTGGGCAGATATAGGTCTCTCTTACTCTCTCCCCTGTAGAGGAGCACAGCAGCAGATGGAGGGAAAGAGAAAGAGCGGCAGCAGCATGCCAGAGGCCGGGTCAGAATTATACAGAGCTGTTAGGTGTTCTCACTTGTTATTTTTCAAATAAAACAAACCTTTGTGCTGCAAATTGAGTGTTTATTTTACAATATATTGTAACAATTAGCTTAGGCATTATTTCAGAGTTTAGTAAATGTCCCTAAAATCATTTCAAGGGGCATTAAAAAAAACTCATGTAGCCACTGCACTCTATATTCTTATTTCTATCCAGAAGCTGAACAACAGACCATATGTGCTCATCCTATCTAAACACATATGTGGTGTTTAAAACAGGAACACCGTGATTCCCATTCAACAGTCTATTCATGACAGGACAACATTTAAAATAGATTTTTTAAATGAATATGTCAAGCATGATAATACAAGCTAAATGATTTCTCAATAAGTAATCACATGAATATTTTTTAATTAATCAATACTATTTCTTAATCCCAATTCAATCATATTACTTCTTAACCTCATTTCATACAAGGTAGGTTGAGTGTGTAATTCTTTTCTTTCTTGCAATTACCTTAGGGTTTCCTGGAAATGGATGTTTTATGTCATCTTGAAACTCCCATTCCCTGCTCCCAGAAGCAACAAAACCAGCTCCAAATTCACTCCTTTTTCTCTGCTAATCCACCAAAAAGAGTGTTTTTAATCAAATTCAATGGCATAGAATTTAGAAGAGACGGTAAGAGACATGCCCCTCCAAATATCGACTGTGACTACGGAATTGTCCCAAGCAATCATTTTGAAAACAATCAAAACAATTAAATTTAACCATTGCTGTACATCGGTGTCTAGTAGCAATGTATTTGGTACACAAATACCAAATTGATGTGTTTTTTTAAGTTTCCATTTATTTCTAAAAAAAATACTGTTTTTATTGTTCACACCAACAGTGACATGAAACATTTGCCCTTGCTTGAAGGTAGTAGAATACAAAAGGCTTTCTGGGCCTGCTCTATGTCAATTGAAGTGTATCAGTATCATGTTCACCTGCTAAGCAGCTCCACTGAATGAGAAAGGCTGTTGAGACCACTCTGCATAAGTATGGTCTGGAAGCTCTTGCGGTCAATAACCCATAGCTTGCTGTCCTCTAGAGCTGTAGATCAAAAGACAGAGGCAGAGGAAGAAGAGGAGCTCAGGTGGAAACAGTAACAGTATTGAAACAGCTCTCAAAGACAATGTAGTTTGTGAAGGATGTGGATGTGTAATGCAGGATCAGCTACAGCTTAAAGAGCAGACAGCAGACCAGGACTCTATTAGAAAAGCTCATCATGTAGAATAAAATGAAATGTAAGTGCTTCATTTCCTTACAGAGAAGGACTTTTAATATACATCTAATCTGATATCCTAAACTATTATTACCCTCTTTCTTTATAATAGAGCTTGAAAGAGGGTTTTATAAATTAATAATGAACCATATTGATTGGTTCACTGAAGCTTCCTGCAAACGGAAGTAGATATCCTCTAGACAGTCTAATTAGATCCACCATCTGATGATATGGTGCTTCGGTGATATCTCAATTCCCACATTTGGATATACCCCATCGGTTTTCACTTTAGCACCATATGACATGCAATTCAGGGCTTTATTTAGATCTGAATGCTGTGTAGGATATTTTTAAAAGGCAAAACATTGCTCTCAATGGAAGATGTCCTGCTGTATATCCTTTGCCACCCTGAACTTTAATGGTCTTTCAATTGCATCTTTATCACTGTCTCAATCAAAGAGACCACACAAGCACATGCCTTATGGATGGTCGCAGATGGCAACAATGAAAAAAAAAAACTAATTTCAGGTCAGGAAGGAGATAAATAGAGTGGGCCCTGAACAGGTCCAAGGGAAGGCCTGACAGAAATGGACATGAACACAACATGGAAGGACAACAGACTGCCAACATGAGCTGAGCATTGTTACCGGAGGGCAGACACATAGTAAAGAACAATAAATTAGAAAGGTTGACTGGTGGCAAGATAAAGAAAGCAATAAAAAAATTAGGAATGAGATGCTTAGGACCAAACATTTTTTTCTATTTAGACTAATCCTGGCCATTTCCACAGCCTATTTATTTGTGAAACCAGGTCAGACGCACGAGGCGATTGCTGAGAAGGTTTCCCCACAGGACTCTGTGATCAGATGCTGGAAGGAAATGACAGTACATTTTTGTATTTTCTAAAGAATATCACAAATTCATTCGGCAGTAATGTATATATGATGCAACCACGAGAAGAATGAATTGAATACAAACTATTTCTGAAAATGTCATTTACAAAAATAAGCCTAACCCTTGTAGGGAAGAGATGTGGCAGCAGGGTTATCCAGTGTAAAGAAGAAAATGTTTTAAATTCCGCACCTCTCCGAGAAAACTGTTTGAGGCTGTGGTTATTTAAGATCTCAAAAGGCCTTTGATTTTAAATTCAACAGACGTCTTCAATCTGTCTAAGACCACTGCTAGAAATATGCCTGCTTGTGATATTCTCTCAAACAAGACTTATTTATATCCCCATCAAATCAGAATTAATTACACTGAACCTCTACACGTGTTATGGTGTGATAGATCTCTAGCGATATCTGCATGCAAGTATAAAACCAAGAAGCCAACACAGTGCTTTGCTACCTGAGACAGAGTAAGTGTGGGTGCAGTTGTAGAGCAGAGCCAGCTCTCCAAACATGTCTTCTGGCTCAATTGTGAGAACCTTCAGTCCGTCTTTAGTCACATCCAGCCTCCCTTCTGTTAATAAACACACAGCCAATGAAGAAATATAACACGTACACAGTAGGACTGTTACTTGCATGTGTTTTTGTGTCAGGATATGTAGAGAGACTGTCAAGAACCTTCAGCTGTAGTGTTTAAACAACAGATATGCAATCATCCTTGAGCCAAACAAGGCCGGCACCTCTCACTGGTTAGGATGACAAGAGGAAAATGGGGACTCTCCATTACCTGTCACATTACAAATGCAGCCAAGAACTCTGTGGACATTTAATCACTGATGAACTCTGCAACCTGGGCAAAGAAGAACATCGTTTCTCCTGTATTTTGTATCAAGTTGACATTTCAACACAAAACATCAATGTGGGTCACTTGTCATTCCCCCTGTAGAGGAGCACAGCAGCAGATGGAGGGAAAGAGAATTAAACAGGGCTGTTTGCTGTTCTCACTTGTTGCAAACTGAGTGTTTAGTTTTACAATAATGTAACAATAATACATTATTTCAGAGTTTTGCAAATGCCCCTAAAATCAGTTCAATGGGTGAAAATAACCCTCACATACTAAGTGACAGCCACTGCACTCTAAATCCTCTACAGGTGCTAATTCCTATCCAGAAGGTGAACAACAGACCATATGTGTGTTTTCATCCAGTCTCTGTTTGTAAGAATTTCTTTCTGAACACAAATGTGGTATTTAAAAAATGAAAACTGATTCTGTCCTATTCAGCAGTCATTAAAGGACAAAAGTTAAAATAGATTTATTACTATGATACAAGTACAAGCATTTTTTTCTCAATAAGTAACCATATCAATAATATATTATTTCTTAAGCCCAATTCATGTTATTTCTCATTTCATACAAGGTTGAGCGGGGAATTATTTTCTTTCTTGCAGTTACTAGGGTAAGTGGTAGCACCCAAAATGGATGTGTTAACATGCCATTTTCTGTTCAAATTAGCCCCGTTTACAGGGTGTTTTATGTCATCTTAAATGGCCATTCCCTGCTCCCAGGAGGAAAACATTTGCTCCAATTCTCTGCCAGTCAGCCAAAAACAATAGTTTAGTAATTTAGTGGGGACGGTAGAGGCATGCCCCTACAAATATCCAGTGAATACTGAATTGTCCCTAGCAATAAGTTTGATCAAAACAATTAAATACAACCACTGTTGTGATGGCACAAGTGCCTCCTCTCTTCTTGCTCAAACATGCAATTCTCACATCACTGTGTGTTGAGAGTGGTGTCAAATTTCTATTGAATTGAAGTATGAGCCAGCTGTGAGAAAACTGATACACACAGATATCTGACTGTTCTTAAGCACCTGTCATCGCAAGGAAATGTTAATAAATATCCTCAAGTATGATTAATGCTAATGACTGTAAGAAGAGAATGATTTACCTTCTAAAACATAAGCCTGCGCCCCGTTGGTCCCCTCCTGAATGACATAGCAGCCTTGATTGATGGTGGTGGGGTACATACAGGCCATGATGGCTTTGATTTCGCCTTCGTCAAGGTTCTTCAACAAGTAGTTTCTCAAAATTGCTGCCTGAATCAGCCTCTGAGACCTGAGGGCATGAAGGTACGATTTAAGGGTAAGTTATTGAATGCCTTGAATGCAGTGTCATAGTCTTGTTTGAAAATTATAAAAAATATTTATTGATTCTGAGTCATGCGGAAAAGAGGTCAGTGAGTTTTGAAAATGTGAGAGACCGATTTTATAGATAGAGCAGGTGGGAGCTGAGGGAACAAATGTGTGCTCTTACTCCGAGCTTTTGTCACAGCTTCTGTGTAAAACCAAGGCAAGAGTCACCGGGTCCAGGATGAAGGGCTCAGAAATGACTGTTTTCCTTTTGGCTCTCTGCTTGTCTTCAGTTTCAGTTGAGCAAACTACAGAAAAAAGGGCACTTTAAGTCAGGTTCAAGCCTTGTGCTACCAATTGATGCTTTAAAAAATTACATTTGAAAGCACAATGTTCTGTATAATGTACCTGCACTGGCTGCAGAGGGTCCTGGGAGTGGGACAGTGGCTCTGTAACGATCCAGTTCTTCCTGCAGTCTCCGAATAAGTTCATCCTTTGTATCCAACTCCAGCTCTAACTCATCTATTAGTGTGTCCCTCTGGCGAAGCTCCTCAATCTTTAGCTGCAGGGCAAATTGGAGGTCCCGAAGTGTACCCATTACCTGGAAAACCAAGGTGACAAAACGCAGCAAAATATATCTGTTTCTACAAAAAAAAAACATGCGCATAGCATACATGCATATAGAGTGGGTCCAAATACACAAAATTTCTGTTTCTCTGTTACAATCTAAGTTTACTCAAAGCTTGCCCTTCTCTAATTCATCTACATTTCTAATATTAATAATATAAACGGAGAATAAATAAGGTATAATGGCTACTTGGATTAGAACACATGGGGGAGAGTTTGCTGTATATGCTTATTTATCTCCATAATTGCTTGAGTTATGTAGACAGACAGATACAAGCAGGCAGGTACAAAGATAAATACAAGAGATAGATATAGATAGATAGATAGATAGATAGATAGATAGTTGGTCAAGTACAGTCCAATGACACAGTTTCCAATACATCCTTCTTTGCTCTGAGGGCATGTAGTACTTCTTGCAGTATTTGATTTTGTATAGGAATCTTCCATGTACAAATGCATTATAGATACAGAATGCTTGTGCAGTGCCTGTATTTCTTTATTTTTTCTTTCACCCTATGAAAAGGGAAGACATTTATTTAAAAAAGAAATGTTTTCAAGGGGTTTTCAAATGAGGTCATTATAGACCATTTAATAAATCACACACACTTTATGTCCCTGCAGGAATATGCTACCTTCCGCGCCCGGAGACACGCACTGATAGTAGCCTTTTGTAATGCATGACTGAGTTTTTAACGGAATGTTTGTAAACACAGATGATCTGCCTTGCAACACATAACGCCATATAGCCTATTGCATTTCACAAATCACACACACGCACAAAGATCACTTACCACCTGCTGCCTGTCTGGCGTTGTGGGAGTCTTCCTCACTTGTCTTGAGCAGGTTTGTCCTTGTTTGGCAGCAGACAGTCCACCCGACAGGTGCAGATCTCCTCTGTACCCGCCCAAGTGAAAGATGCTCCTCTCTTGCTCCGGGCAGGCTTTGCACAGACAGCAGGCAATCACATGACCAAGACAGTGGAGACCATGCGGGAGGCTGGAATGAGAAATGCACAGGCTGGATCCCAATTGGGTCAGAGGGTCTTTGAGGTATTTCTGAGCCCAGGGGAGAGGTGGGTCTCCGGCAGACTGAGCGGTGAACATCAAGCATTTTATGCTGTGTGGACCGATCAGAGGTTTATACTCGTCCACCATTGTACCTGTACACGGCAAATTGCCTTATCCTGATAGCCTATAGTTGCAAATTTCTAAAGTGACCGTCACACTTTCACGGAGATGTTTGATTTAATGTAAACGCCTAGCCTATAGCCTAACAGACAAAAATTATGCTTCTGTTGTGGTAGGACCACAAGTGTAGTGTTTTCATTTGGTCTGATGCAAAATGTTGGGTTTTCACATTAAAACATTTTGAAACGATGATTAGCAATAGTCACAATGGCTAATGGTTAATGCAAATAGTTGTAAATAATTTGGAGGAAAATTAAGACACAGGCCCCATAGCTTTGTTCAACAGAATGAACCCAAGCAAAGACATAGACAGATCATCTGAAGTCCATTTTATTTAAGCCTTCATAGGCGGCTTAGCACCAGGGTCATTATGTGCTTCCCAAAGATAAACAGGTTAGAATGTGGTCTTAGTTAATAGGCCAATCAATAATTAGAAAAAACTAAGCTAGATTGTAATAATATGTTTTTAAAGGTTGATCTTTGTCACTTTTAGACTCCAAACTCCATCCAGTGTTATCCATCTTTAATATTTATTTATGGTGTGATTATCTCGAGAAGAAGAGAGAGTTATTTTTTAAGGCAGCCATACGACCCTCCAGCCAGTAGGTGGCAGTAGCGTCACCGGAGAGCAGCAGCAGCAGCAGCAGCAGCAGCCCGCATGCTGGAGATGAAGATGGGCCACTAACAAGAGAAGAAGCCCTGTGGCTAACTTGAGCTAGCTAAGTAACTTGTGTATAATTTGTGGCTGAACCTTTGAAGGTACTGTTGTTGTGTGGTTGTGTTTTGTTCAAACCGTCGTCGAAAATGATCCTTACCGTGAAACCGCTTCAAGGAAAAGAATGCAGTGTGCAGGTAAGTTGAGCGAGATAGCTAACTGCTCCCTGTTATCTCTCCCTAATTCGCAACATTAGCTAGCCTTTACAGGCAAGCTAGCCGACTAGCCGACATGGTGGTCCCGGTCCTGTGACATGCCGAGCTGCCTTTTGGATGGAGCAACCACACAAATGATGCTTGAGTCTAAAAAATGAGGCTGTCAGACTCCACACAGGGTTGCTTAAATTGAGCCATTGTAGAAACACTCAGTTATGAAGCGATGTTAACTGTAGCTAGCTACCTCCTTCAAGCACAGCGGTGCTGAGTGGGACCTCTGTAAGTCCTTATTTGGTGCGTCTTGTAGGATAGGGAAGTCACAAAGCAAACACTTTAACAAAAAGAAGTATCGTTATCTTATGAAAAAGCTTTATAACTTAGCTACTAACCTAAAGATACTATCGTTACTTGCCCTACTCTCAACAATCTGTGGCGTTATTATTTGCTCATAAAGGCCAGTCACAGCCCCAGTTTGTGCCTCATGTTTTAAAATGATAACGGTACCCTATGGGGCACAAAAGGGGCCCCTGGAGCGCAACTTTATCAGCATTGTATGTGAGGGTAGGAACCACTGTTTTTAATATGATCAGTGTGCTGCTGCAGTAGTCTGTGGTTTTGTGTAGTTAAGTAATAAAGAACAATATTGATGTCAGAACATGTTTATACAAAAATTTAGACCATAATCATCTTAATTTATAAAGCATTTTTCAAAACCATGTTACAAAGTGCTTTCACAAAAGCAAAGACACGGTAAAAGCAGGAAGAAACTGTTTATAGAAACATAAATAAAATCAGGAAAGGCTCTCCTGTGAAAGTATGTTTTAAGAAGAAGGGATTTAAAAGGGTTCACTGACTCAGCTGCCCTGAATTCCTCGGGCAGGCTGTTCCAGATCCTCCAGGCCCCAACTGCAAACACTCTGCCCCCTTGAGTTTTCAGTCAAGAATCTGGAAGAGACAAAAAACCTCTTCCTGATGTGGTAGTGATTATATCAGATGGGGAAGTACATACTGGACAAAATTTTGTATTCAACAGAAGAGAAGTGACTCTTAACCCTATTCTTGTTAAAATGTGTCAGTTATAACGTGCAATGTTTCTCCTAGCTCTGCTATGAAATTTAAAAGTAGCATGTCAGTGGTGCGTTTGTCACTTTTGAAGAGAGTTGAGTTTGAATTCCTCATTAGTTGTCGGTTTTATGTAAAGTGGAGGCAAAGTAAGAACTTATGAAGATTGTCTACACTCTTGTGCAGTTTGAATACTCTTCATCTAAACGGAGAGAGATGCATTTTGGTCGTATCGTGTGAGTTCATCACTGTTGTTGTTCTTTCAGGTGAATGAAGATGAAAAGGTGTCCACAGTGAAGGAACTTGTTTCTGAACGTCTCAACATACCAGCAAACCAGCAGCGGTTGCTCTATAAAGGGAAAGCACTTGCAGGTAGATTTACCAACAGTGAAATGTTACATAACCTTTGTGCAGAACTGTAATTGCTTGAATCAAACGTTTACATTTTTGATTACTGCATACTATGTTACTTTCCTCAGATGAGCACAGACTGAGTGATTACTCCATTGGTCCAGAGGCTAAATTGAATCTGGTAATCCGTCCAGTGGGGGAGAGGACTGGAGCGTCGGGGACAGCAGCCGCTAGCAGCAGCGGCAGCTGCAGCAGCAGCAGCAGCAGCAGCAGCAGCAGCACACAGGGAAGAGTGTGGCAGACTGTGTCCACTATCCTTGCAAGACACTTTAGTCCAGCAGATGCAGCAAAAGTCCATGAACAGCTTATTAAGGTATTTAAATGCAGCATACCTGCACTCATACTGCTGTTTTAAAATTTAAACTGGATCCTTAAGTCTGAATGCGTCTTAATAGATCAAGTCTTGTCCAAATATGGCCAAGAAATGCAGTCTTTTTTTGCCCAAATACTGAAGTCATAACCAGTTTATCATTTTGAAGGTTGACTCCTTCTGGATCCCACGATCCATTAGGTGAAGGTCAGTTGCATTCAGAGACTCATGGTCAACTCGTAATTGGAAAATTATGATTTTTACCGAGCATGTGATATTTTAATAAGGTTTTAAAAAATGTTTTAAAAACACAGTACAAATAACAAACATCAAGAAACTCTTTACAAAAGACGTACAATAAAATAAATTATCAAAATAATAAAAGAAAAAATTGCATAATCAGCCATGCGTCTTAAATAATAGTAGAATGCCAGAATTTCCAAGTAACATAGAGGCATGTTGTGCTACCAACACAAGCAAGGGTCAATTCTCATTACCTGAATTTAGATAACCAGCATGTTTTCCCTATTTGTCAATATAGTAGTTTCACTTGATTTGATTGATTGTCTTCTGTGAATAAATATTACTTATTTATAGGCCTTGTTAATGGAAGTTATGTGGATATATTAGAACCTCACAACTTGTACAGTAACTCTGTTATCTTGAAATTTGTCCCAGTTTGTGGTATTTACAATTTGTAAAATTTGGCAAATTTCTTGTGATAAACCTGGAACCCCACCATGTACGATCTGCTAAAATAAGTTCAGTAGAATATTTTTTAACATGGCTGTTTCTCAGTGTTTGTTGTTTTGTTTTTCTTCAAGGACTATGAACGGTCACTTCGACAACTTAGTCTCGACGACATTGAGCGCTTGGCGGGAAGACTGCTTCATCCTGACGGCGAGGGCATGGATACCTCCTACATGGACTAAGAATGTCTTGCTGGAAGTTGCTTATTGTGATTTGTCTTTTGAGAGGTGCTCAGTGCTTGGAGGTGCATACAGTGTTTAGAGTGTGAGGCATGGAAATACAGTGTCTGTTTTCTTACAGAGAGCCCCAGCTGTGTGCCTAATCAGTGGCTGAGACAGATAGCATTGACTGTTGATTATCTCAGCAATAGGGCTTTCTTATCCACGACCAAAGAAGTTGGATAAGCAAAACATAAGCCTCTTTTGAATTGGTCCCCGTTGTTGATTTTTGCAGTAATGACACAAGACCTGATCACATAATATTTTAATACAAAGGAATCCATTTATGCTGTGGGTTGCGCATGATCTCTGGCTGCTAAAAGGGGGACACTAACCTCTACTGGAGGGTATTTGTTTGTAATGTCTGTGTTGGATGATGACCATATGTGAGAAGGTAATACTGGTTTTATTTCGTAACTAACTGATGTTCATTGTATGATTTGTAAATATTCTGTTTATATATATACATACATTAAAACATGAGGGGGAGACTAGGCATACTGTGTTGTGTTGTATTTTATGTGAAGTTAAAAAAGTCTAAAAAAAGATTGTAATGAAGGTTTATCTGGGAAGTTTTAAAAGTATTCAGCATAACAATTATAATTATTATATATAAGTTAAAAAAACGAAATAAAAAGATAGAGGCAAGCGGGTCTTACAAGGCGGGACCTCACAGTGCGTCTTTTACGTGTCAACCAATAAGGTGTCGGAAAAATGCTCATGAGTCATACTTTATGACCAATCAAATTGACGAAGAGTAATGCGGGTTCCGCCTATTGAGTAACCTGCTGTTATGTTTATTTGCTGCTAATTTTGGATAAAGGTTGGAATAAAATGCTATGTTTTTGACACTTTCCCCTTTTCTACGAACAATGAAGGACAGACACGTTGGATAAGGAGGCATATTATTTTTGTTGAACATCGGTAAGGTCATAATGGAGCAGCGGTTGTTCCAACGGCTAAGCTAGGGTTAGCACAAAGCTAGCATAAGTCGTTCACTTCCTGCATTTAATAATTAGCTTTAGCGAGGCAAAATTAGCAGGTAATACCTGTGCTGCTACATCATTTGTTGCCATGTAACTTAGAAGTTTGGTCAGTGCCGATATTGAGAGAGTAGATCGTTTTCAATTTGAAAACCATATTTAACGTGTGATCTGCGAGGATTTGGCACAGTGTTGGATGTATCTGATGTTTGGGCGTTACACCTCCTCTCATCAGGACCACTTTTACCTTTGGTAAAGCAATGCTGTCTTCCCAGGGAAATAACCATCGCATACTTGTTTATTTTTAAATATATTTGTCATTTGTGTATTTGCAATCGCAATAATTCAACACAGTGCCCTGTTTTTGTGTTTCTTGCTCAGAGTAGAATGCAGTCTATTTAATTCTTATGGGCGTTTGTGAGTAGTATTTTCCTAGATAGTGTTAGTCTAGTGTCAGTAGGATTAACGTTAAACGTCACCCGAGTTACTGTCTTTCTGTCTATTAATGTTTGCTTTATTTTATCAATTTAGTAAGCCACTCTATTGGAAGGATGGACAGTCTAATTCCCACCATTAACCGGCTGCAGGAGGTCTTCCTCACAGTGGGTGCAGAGATCATACAGCTGCCTCAGATTGTCGTGGTTGGATCTCAGGTCAGGCAGGAAAGAAACACAATGATAAGCTTAAGTATAAACTTGACCATTATCTGTAACTTTTGCCCGAACTTCGCTGCCATCATTAAAACTGTAAGGTCTCTGATTTGAGTTTGAGTTTTTTGATTTGATCAAACATTGAATATGTATGGTTAATGCACACTGATGGAAAATTGCTTAACTGCTCTCATTATGTGCCATAACAGAGCAGTGGAAAGAGCTCTGTATTGGAGAGTCTAGTTGGACGGGATTTCTTGCCTCGGGGATCAGGAATAGTAACAAGACGACCTCTCGTGTTGCAACTTATTAATGTTGCCCCTCTGCAGGAGAGACTGAAGATCGAGAGTGGTACCTACACATTTATTCATATTTTAAAGTTTAAAGAGTTGTATTGATTATCCTTGAAAAACGCATCAATTTATGATATACAGAATATAAGTATATTAAAGCACAGGAAGTTTATTATTTCTGTCTTTGCATGGAGTCTGTTTGAAGTAATTGTGTGATTAACATTTAGGCATAGCGCTTTCACTCACTGTTTGATTTGCAGCTACTCCTTGTAGAGCCTTAGTCTGTCTTTGCTAACATGCAGTCTTTCTTCCTCTTCTTATTCACTGCTTTTTCAGGGAATGGGTTAAATCAAAACGCCCAAAACAGCTACACAGGTCTCTGTATATTTGGACTGCATGGACTTGACTTTGTTTTTTTGTATTGTCTTTGTAGCCTCTTCATTTCTTTTGTGAACTCCTTCATACATGTTTGTTTGTTCTGATCTTCATCTGTCAAGCATAATATAAGTCCATTTAGAATATTTTCAATTTTCATTATTTCTCCCCAAACTGAAAATCTAACTGGAGACATTTCTGTAAAATGAATAACAGTTACTCTTCTGCATTTGTTCAGGTGTCAAAGCTGAAGAATGGGGTACATTCCTGCACTGCAAGAACCAGGTACATTTATCTGAAAGATTCAAATGATGTGCAAGCAGCCTTTTTCCTGTATTATGCTGCGTCTATTTGATGCATCATTCTCTCGTTGTTTTCGACAGATATTCACAGATTTTCAGGAAATTCGTCGGGAAATTGAAGCAGAGACTGAACGCAGTTCAGGTGACAACAAGGTGAAAGGAAAGCTTTGATGGAAACTCAGTGTTGCCATAAATGTAGCTTTTTACACTGCATACATGATGTCCTTTCCTTTTTTCATACCTTCCAGGGAATCAGTCCTGAGCCCATATATTTGAAGATTTTCTCCCCTAAAGTCCTTAACCTCACCCTGGTTGATTTACCTGGAATTACAAAGGTAAACACAGCCACTTGATAAGGATGTTGATTTTGTTTCATGTGGACAAACACAATGGTACTACATCATGATTAATGCTGATGATTGCACTACATATCTGCAATCACCAGAGATTCACAGCAGCACTCCATCTGTGCTGTGCTTACAGTAACACTGGCTGCTCATTGTTGTTGCCTCAGGTTCCTGTTGGGGATCAGCCAGAGGACATTGAGGCTCAAGTACAAGAGATGATCTTGTCCTTCATCTCCAATCCAAACTCCCTCATCCTCGCAGTGTCCCCTGCCAACTCTGACTTGGCCACCTCTGATGCACTGAAATTGGCTCGTGAGGTTGATCCAGATGGTAAAACATTTTTTATACAGGCGCCTCTCAGATTTCATTTTAATTTTCCTTACTGCCTGTCGGTGCTTATTATATAAGACGCTTCAAGTAGAAATACATTTTAAATTATTAATTGTGCATGAAGAACACATTATGCTCAAGTCATTTTAGGCTATTGGACCCATCAGTCTTGTGTTGCTATCATGGTGCACTCTGAAGAATGGATTGATAGATGATGAAAATCTGTCTGTAGTAAATGTCTGTGAGGCTGCTCGGCAAAGGCCTGTTGCACACTGTGATAGTGTGCCAGTTAGGATATCTGTATCTGGGACCAAATGTTCCCCTGCTGGCTTCACTCCTGCCTTATTTTCAGCTGCTCTTAAAAAATATAATCCAAGATCTTTGTTTGTGTGTCTGAACTGTCTGTCAGGTCGTCGAACACTGCTGGTGGTCAGTAAGCTGGACCTGATGGATGCAGGGACTGATGCTCTGGAGGTCCTTCTGGGTCGAGTCATTCCAGTCAAACTTGGGATTATTGGTGTAGTTAACAGGTTTGGAATAATAAATTATTTTCTTTTATTGTAGCTATGTAATGTTTTTAGCTTTACAATACTGCAAGGTGGCAAGTGGTATATCCTTATAACCTTGACCATCTGACCCCCCCCCCCCCATTGGTGATCCTCCTAGGAGCCAGCATGATATTAATACCCAGAAGACCCTGGAGGACTCAACAAGGGATGAACAAGCCTTTCTGCAGCGCCACTACCCCTCACTCGCCTCCCGCGCTGGCTCCCGCTATCTGGCCAAAACTCTCAGCAGGCTGCTCATGCACCACATCCGGGACTGCCTACCAGACCTCAAAACCCGAGTGACCGTGCTGAGTGCCCAGTACCAGACACGGCTCAACAGCTATGGCCAGCCAGTAGAAGACCACAGTGCCACCCTGCTGCAGATTGTCACCAAGTTCGCCAGCGATTACTGCAACACCATCGAGGGAACAGCCAGATACATCCAGACCTCGGAGCTGTGAGTCTGACATCTCTACAGCAGCAGGGTCTTTGTTGAATAGCAAATGCTTTTATGATGAAAGCAGCCTTTGTTGTTTTAGTAAACCATCTCTTTATTTTCTCAAGTTGTTACCTAATTTATCACTTTTGTTGCACAACTCAGCATTTTACTTGCATTGGTTAACAATGTGTGTCATGAGTGTAATGTCCTTGGAGTAATGTAATTCTAAATTGAAGTGGTATCAGCATTTTCTGTCGGCACCTTCATTTCTACAGCTCTCATACCACAAGGCGATTAATTCATGTAAATATGTAGGGAGCAAATATTGACCTTTTTTGGTTGACTGCATTTAATTTTGGTGCAATTAACATTGCTGACACACCGCACTGAGAAACAGCATTGGTGTCACAGCTGAAACCTTCTCTTCCACAGCTGTGGCGGCGCTCGGATCTGTTACATATTCCACGAGACCTTTGGCCGCACTTTGCAGTCCATCGACCCGCTGGGAGGACTGACTGAGCTTGATATCCTCACTGCCATCCGCAACGCTACGGTGAGCTTCTCCTGACTTCTGTTTGTGTAATTTGTTTAATTCAAATTCTTGTCAAGTTCTCTCATTTGAAAGAATAGCAGGTAAATAGTAGAGCTGGTGTGTGTGATTTGCCCTGCAGGGTCCGCGGCCAGCACTTTTTGTGCCTGAGGTGTCCTTTGAGTTATTGGTGAAGCGGCAAATTAAGCGGCTAGAGGAGCCCAGTCTGCGCTGTGTGGAGCTGGTTCATGAAGAGCTGCAGAGGATCATCCAGCATTGCTCTTCCTTCAGCACGCAGGTTAGCCCAAAGATGTTGATTGACTTCCTGAAAACAGAGTAGCATTGATTATGGCAGCACCATGTTATGAAAATATGTCTTTGTGTTTGTAAGGAGCTTCTGAGATTCCCCAAACTGCACGATTCCATTGTGGAAGTGGTGACTGGATTACTGAGGAAGCGCTTGCCGATAACTAATGAAATGGTAATCCACAGCTTAGCTAAGATGATCTTTCATACTAATTATATGAACTAACAGCCAAGTCCTATTGATTGCCTGAGGTGTTCTGCTTTTTGACTTTTAGGTACACAATTTAGTAGCAATAGAGCTCGCCTACATCAACACAAAACATCCGGACTTCACAGATGCAGCACAGGTCTCTGCATCTGTCAACAGTCAGCAGGTAGTTATTTGTTTTTTACTGCAGGTACTAAAATTAAGCATTTATTCTGCTAGGGTTAAAAAGCAGAAGTTGTGTTCTGTAAAGCCATAACCTAGGGTTTGCCTGATCAGTGTACAAGCATAAACCAGTTTGTTTTTATGCAAACCGATTGAACCGGCATTTGCCAATATGAGACATTCTGTCAAATTAAGAAAGGTAGCCTACATCAGCAACCTGTGCCGACGGCGCTAAATCTAACTTGCACTGCATTATTAATAAGTAATATGACGACATGATTAACATAATATGGTTGTTTAATGCTATATGAAATTACTTTTTTCTGATTCACTTATTTCTCTGGCTGTTGTCTCTCGTCTGGTCTCTCCCCCTCTAGAATTACGGCGCTGATTAAAATAAAAACGCTCTGTCAAATTTTTAAAATTCTCTATAATTTCTCGGTTATATATCGATTCATAACCGGTTTGATATCTGTTAATACCGAACTGGTTTGAAAATGTTTACATCAGCCCAACCCTACATTAATCATTATGTTTCACGTTCAAACAGTACAGCCCCCTCTGACTTCCTCATATTTCTTGTTGTCAGGCAGAGGCCCTTGATGGAGGGAAGCACTGGAAGAAAGAGAAGTTTACAGAAGAGCAACCCCCGGCTGCAGGCTTTGGCAGCCCCAGCAAAGGCCAGGCCATTAACCTCCTGGACACAGTGAGTTGTGGGATTAGCAGTAGGACAAAACACTTAGTAGTGAATACATCGCAGACTGTCAACATTTTGCTTTCCCCTCTCTGCAAGGCCGTGCCTGTATCCCGCAAGCTGAGTGCAAGGGAGCAGAGGGACTGTGAAGTCATCCAGCGCCTCATCAATTGCTACTTCCTCATTGTCCGAAAAAGCATCCAAGACAGGTTTGGATATAACATGTCCAGAGCACCTGTGGGGCACACGCCCATTTCCCCTTCTTTTTCTGTTGTTGAGCTCAGTTGTTCTCATGCTAACTTTGTCTGTGTGTCCACAGTGTGCCCAAGACAGTGATGCACTTCCTCGTGAACTTTGTAAAAGAGCATCTGCAGAGTGAGCTGGTGGGTCAGCTTTACAAGCAGCAACTGCTGCAGGAGCTGCTCATTGAGTCACAGGACACGGCACAGCAGCGGACCGAGGTTGCTCAAATGCTTGAGGTAAAATTGGCTGAAGCTTTTGTTCTCTGAATAGGTTCTGAGCATCAAGAAAAGCAAGTCCCTTCTCTTTTTCTTTTATCTGCTATTTGAAGGCCAGTGAATTAACCACCTTCTATTTTTTTTTTTTTCCTTCTTTCTCAGGCACTCAAAAAAGCCAACAACATCATCTCCGAGATCCGGGAGACCCATCTGTGGTAGCCAGAGGAAACGAACAATTCCCTTGTCATAGGACAGCTTTGAGAGTGTGAGAGTGTATGTGAGTTTACAGCCCAGAGAGTGATTGTGTGTGAGAGTGTGTGTGTTTGTCTATGTGTGGCAATACCACAGTTTTCTCATGGACCAATGACTATAGCACATTTATATCTACTTTTTTCCCATTAGCTGTCGCCCCGACCAGCATACAGGGGCTGTTACTTTTCACTGTGAACGTGTGTGTAGTGACGGATTTTAATTAAACACTCAGGCCGAAAGTGTTATTGCAAAGTTGAAATAAGAAAGACAAAGCTACGAACAAAATCTTTTTGTGACAAAATGTTTGTTGGGTCATAAGATTTTTGCTGTAAATGTTAAATGTTCATTATATGTGGAGTATTTAAGTTTGGGTGTTGTTCACATTGTACATTTCACACTTTCCAAACACGGGGTTTCCTCTGAGCCCGTTCAGCAGGTGCTAAAATTATGTTATATTACATATGTTCTTATTTGATGGAAATGATGTGAAAATTCATCTCAATCAGTGCTGTCTGCAATGCAACACTGCAGACAGACCCACGGACATTTGTAGAAATTACTGGATGAATGCATATTGTTTTTCCAGCTCAGTAGTGCTAATCAATATCAGGTTTATTTACCCGAGTCATTTACATATCAGCCCATTTATACTGTTAACTGTTGCACTGACCTTCTAGTTATATTCTCTCTGTCTCTCTCGCTCTCTTTCTCTCCAGATGGTAGGACTGCAGTATGCAGTAGCTTCTCCTTATTTCCTCGAAACCAATTGTTCATTGGCTTCCGCTGTTAATAGTACAGAGAGATAAGATAGTTCCCTATCATGGTCCCTGCAAAGTAGTAAGGATACTGCTCCAGGTATAAGAGTCTCATTATGTGGATTCCTCCTGCATGCAGTTTCTTGCAGTCCCGACTGTGAACTTACATCTCAAGTAAGCTTCTGTGCCAGCGGTCATTTCGTTGTGTAATATTGCTTGATGTGAAAAAATTATTAATCTTTTTCCATCTGTTCCTGACTTAGGTTGTTGTTCAGACAGATTCCTCCCCAAAGTGCTATAGCGATTGATGTGAATCTCTTCTCTTAGACAAAACAAATGGTTATCCTAAAAAATAGGCTTTATCAGGAAGACCTGCCTTAACGGGACCATCAAACAGTAATTCTTCTAACTTCTTCAATGTGATCAGGGAGTGCACACAACATCGTGTCAGTCTGGCTTTCTGAAAGCCCTGTTTAAGATTGCATGAGTGTTTTCTGTCTGCATGTGTGAAGTAATGAATGGCTGAATTATGTATATTTTGTATTATTTAAATGCGTATTATGATCATGTGTCAACTGCCTCTGAGTTCTTGCCTGCCAATATTTGTGATACGTGTTTACTGAATGAAGCCTGTTGAGATTGAAGGGACTCATTAAATCCTAACAAAGGACACTGCACAGTTTGTTTGGATGTTATTGACGACATGCAGTTATGGCAATTGATCAGTTTTCATAAGCTCTTTTTGTCTCCCACAGTCCCCACAACAATACGATAGATGTCATTAGACTGTGCTCACTTTATAGATCTCAAGTAACTGAAAAAAAGTCTGTTCAGTCAGATGAATCTGTCACAGGAGGAAGACAAAGTGCCCTGAAGGGTGACAACACACACACACAAACGCACCATAACAGTGACATGAGCACCGGACTTCAACCCTGTTTTCTTTGTGTTTGACTCCAGACTGCACCAGCTGCTATGGAAAGAGCTACATAGGTTGAAATCCCACTTTAGAATCATCCGCTCCCATTTAGATGATGGATTATTTGCTTTTGATGTCAAGGCAATCCCAAATTTAACCTGAACAGAGGTTCAGAAGTGAGATGATCGATGAGTTGAATGTGGCAGTAAGAGAGGAGAGCTGGTCATTAATGTTAGATGACAGTGAGCCAGAGAAAGCATTATTGGCACAACAAGGTAAACATGCCAAGTCAAATCAGTGCTGAATTTACAAACTCTACAACATATTAGTAAAACGCACAGCAGTCAAACTGCATCTACAACAGAGCCAGATTGGACTGCTTCATTTCATCTGGGGTGAGAGCACCATGCTTGAGAGGGAAGATGAACCACGAGCTCATAAAGTCTTACTCCGTGTGATTATTTTAAATTGCCTGTACTTTCTCTCCATCTGTAGCCAGTTATTCTGATCACCCTTTTTCAACACACCACACCTCCCCACCAACTGAAGCTAGACCAGACCATACCAACTCTGACAACAAGGGAGGGGGCTCGGCTGCAGTATCATGACGGCTGCATCATTTTGTTTGCATAAAACCAGCTTAATTAAAGTGTAACGAGTCAAAGACGAGTTTTGATTGATTGTTTTTTTTTTTAAATCCCTCCAGGATCTCCCGCCTTCCATCCGTGGATTACAGAGGTTTTCGGGCTGTATTCCCCTCCTCGTCGCTCCTCCACCGGTGAGCCAGTCAGCAGAGCAAGCTGAACAAAGCCATGGGAGAGAGGAGCTTCTGGGAAGAAATGTCTCTCACTGACTCTGTCGCCTGGACAACCGGGTAAGAGAGGAGGGGAGGGTGCACGGGAGAGAGAAAGGACCATAAGGAGCATAAAAGGAGAGGAAAACAACACATTAGTAACTGCTGAGATTAGCGGATTCCTTTAGAGAGTGTGTGGGGGTGGATTTTTTACATTCTCTTATGAGGGTTCCCTTAGTGTCTCTCTCTCTTGAGTTATTAACTATGACAATAAAGCAGTATTTTTTTTACCCCCACACCAGAGCATGGAGGGGATGAAACTGAAGAGCACAAGTTCAGCACATTACAAGTGGACCCAGTAGGCCTGAATGCTCCACCTGTAAATTCTCGGGTCATCAGCCTCAGGTAAGAGTCTCCTCGGTGCTGCAGTTGTTTGCTTTGAGAGGGATGCCTGTGTTTTTGCCTGATTTGATGATATAAATATTAGTTGTGCAGTTATCTTGAAAACGAACGAGAAAGTCACAAATGGTTCAACAAATCAATAAAAGCTCATCCCACTTGCCTGCAGGCAGCTTCGAATATCAGAGTAACTCTGAAGCAGACAAGTTTTGGGAAATAGCCTTTATTATGCGTTTGAGTCAAAAAGAAAAAAAATAAACTACAGTCACCGTAGTGTGGGGCTTATTTGTTCCGTTTTATTGAGGTGAGTGAGAGAAATTGCGTGGTACAGCCCCGGGATGCTTCGCACAGCGTGCACAGAGCCTTGTGCTTCCTTCGGTGCGAGCATGTATTCATCGACAATAAGAAAATGAACACCGCTGTTAGGCGCAAATGGACCTCGAGAGTTTGACTTGACTCCGGATTCACAGCGCTTGAAGGATAGAAGGCACGTCCGCTATAAACATACTGCTGAGCGCTCATGCATAAGGAATATATTCAGAGCGCTAGTGGTGAAATCAATGCCCCCTTTAAACGAGGTGGTATGCTGGCTGACTTTACACCAGGCTGAATGTGTGTGGGGCAAGAGGCAGCATGCGATATCCATGGAAGAGATAAACTGAGGAGGATGGGTTTATTTTTAGCTCCTGTCAGTAATTAAGGTAAAAAAATCTCTCAACTTTGTAGACAAGATAGAGAGAGAGAAAAGGCCGACAGATTGAAGGGAGGAAAAGGGCAAGAGAGTGAGGGATGGCGTTCAAAAGGAGGGCTGAGAGAGATGATTATAGGTGATGGGTTCAGGATCACAGCAGGCTTGGATTGCTCAGCGCTCCCACCTCACCTATCTGACACAATCCAGAGATGTAGAGGAAGGGTAAAAACGCTGACACTCAGTTTATCCGCGTTTTTTTTATTGGAGAGAAAATACATGTGAAATGTGGTCTAGTGGAGCACGACACAGACAGCCCAAATACATCACTGTTCTGCACAACCAGGTCCATCAAATGCAGCTGCTGTCCTTTGGAGCATGCAGGTGCAGTGTGACCACCTGGGCGCACTCTATTTAAAAAAAAATAAATCAATGAAAAAGCTACAGAGAAAGTTCAAAATTGAGTTTTAGGTGAGGAAAGGCAATGGTATCCAATACAGTCCCACAGCATAGGCTACATATACAAGAACTGGTTCATCTTTCAAGGGATTTATTTCATACCCCAAAATCTGCAAATAGATGTTCATTTCAGGCCTCAGTGCATTGAACACCGTAGACAAAGAAACAGACTAATTCATAAGAAGACAGTTTTAATATAGACTGAGCCATATGGGAGGCAACTTTTATTCCAATTAATACAGGAAGTGTTGAGAGTCAGGACAGAACAGACGCAAACAACGCTCAGGATTAAACAGGTTTTTATGAGAAAAACGGAGAAGTCGCTGAGGGAGTGGAGATGAAGTAGAGATGGACGCCAGGGAACGCAGGCACGGTGGACCAAGGAGCAGGTGGGGCAGAGGAGGCTGAGGCGAGGGAGCTGAAGGGAACAGAGGAATGAGGCGGAGAGGAGGCCCAGGGGAACTGACTGGAGGGATGGGAGAAGGTGTGGTGGCAGGCAGACTGGCGACGCCCGAGGGGAAAGGGCAGGTAGGTGAGCCCAGCTGACACGACGGTGGACGGAGGTGAGTGAACCTGGGGAAAGGCAGGCAGAGTTAATCACTGAGAGAACAGAGATGTTGCAGGATTCACAGAGGCTTCAGTAATGCAGCAGCAGCACCAGGTCAGGAGCAACCACGATCAAGCCAAGATTGCGTGGAGAACCGGGGTTGATATACTGGCAGAGATGGAGTTGATTGCTGGCAGGTGTGGCAGGCAGAGGAGACGGCTGATGAGGTGCAGGTGAGGATCGTCAGCTGGGCTCAGGAGCGGAGAGAGATGGAGAACACAAGCAAGGAGAGCGGAGGAGACACAGAGAGGCAGGCAAAACACGGGAAAACAGAATGCAGGAAAAAAGGAGGAACACACAGGACACTCACCGTCAGCCGGGCTGCCACCATAACAGAAAGCAGGCCAAATATGCTAAATTTTTAATCCACACCTGCAAAGGGTTTAAATCAGCTGTGCACTCCTAATCTTGAATGAACAATTCTGGGAGCTTGTAAACACATTAGTTATACCAGACTCTGCTCTGCGCGCAGCTCTGTTCACCACTTATAAATATTGTACATGAGGTGCAATGTTCTTGGAAGCGAAGAAGCATCAGACTCATCAAGAAGAGAGAAAAGGATGTGTCCCTGAAGTCGTGCATCACTTTAGTTCTTATCTTTCCTCCACTGTACCTGCATGATGTCTGTTGCCAGGTACACAGTAGGCAATAAGGTTGGCATAAAGCACAGAGCTCTGTCTTAATGCCTAACACGCACTAAGTCTGCATCATGAGTCTCTAATGAGTTCCTCAGACTGTCAGACTTTGACATCTGCACCACTAATCAGCCTGTTTTGATGTTGAAAGGGACACAAAAATGGAGCTGTGGAGATGTGCCGATAGTCCTCTCACTTAATTTTTTCCCCCATGAATATTAAACATCAGAAAAGCACAATTTCTTTGTTTGAAGGGTGACATCTGTGGTGTGTGTTTGTGACTTCAGGCATTCCCCAGGCTTCTCTGTCCTCCCGTTTCCCCCATCCACTTCTCTCGTCATATTCCTGTGCTTGTGTGCATGCCTCCTCTCATCTTCTGTTGATGAGAGCACCATCATCAAAACAAGCTGGAGAAGGAGCAAGGAGATGTAACAGGATTACAAGAATCTAATTACCAAAATCAACAGCTGTATTCTGTTACTGTAAATGCACAATTATATCTCACATTTTTGTTAAAGATCGGGCACATAATTGGTCACAGATAAACATTTAAAGGGGAAAAGGCAGCTTGTGTGGCATTACGGAAAATAACATAATACTGCTCATTTCCCATGTTGGGTGCAGTCTCCCCCCCCCCCCCTCTACCCAAGTTACAGCCTGCAAATTGGAACAAATTATTTCCCGTGTTATTATAGAAATAATAGGCACTGTAATCCAAAAGTAACTGAAAATAATTAGAGGATTTTGTTGCAATATTTGGTTCTCTGTTTTCACACTTTCCCAACACCATTAATGAATTTGTCCTCTAAAAGACCATGAAGCTGTGTGGGCAGACGCTGGTCTGCTGCTCTCCCATTAAAAGGTGCACTGGTGTCCTTGTCTGTGAGAAAGATGACATGGTCATTAATAAAAGTGTTGTGCAAATTTAAAAACAAAATGACCCAAAATAAGTCCTTCTTCACAGCATATTAGGCACACTGGAGCTCTTGGTTTTCAACTCAGCAGGCTTTCTTATCTCTTTCATAAAAGGAGAATTCCTCCATAAAAATGCATTAGCATATGTAAGACCTGCGGACATTTGAGAACATTAAAATCAGTCTCTCTCATAAAGTGAGAGTGCTATGGCTGTTAATGATGTGGCAATGAAAACATATCCATGTGCTGCTCCACTACCATCGAGCTGGAGACTGACTTTGTGGACACAGTGACCGCACACAAGGTGATTTTCTGCAGCAGGCATGAGCACATTTTCTCCTTTAGCACTACCATGAAATAAAGTTCATTCAGGTATAAGAGCACAAACAAAAACCCCATAAATCAGTAAGACTGCAGTTCATTTTAAGCCCCAGAGTTTGTCTCTCAAGAGTCTTTCTTCTCCGCTTTCTAACACCAGGCTTCTTGGTCATTTTTACAAATATTGATTAAATGGTATAATTTATAAATTCTTCTTTTTTTGATGATGGATTCTCACTTCACTTACATAGCTGAGCGCAGCTATCGTTTTACAGATAATCAAGATTCACTGTCTTACCTGGCTGACCTTAAAGAACTGTCCTAAAGAGAATAGATAAATTGCTGCTGTTAGCCGGCTCACTGCCACTTGAATAAAAACCGTCTGCAGTATCTTGTGTGTAGAGAAGTAGAAAAAAGTGGCACCTGTTGACACTATTAGTCAAAGGCTGCCTATCACAGGAGATAACCCCCTCTTATTCCACAAATCAGTCTAATATCTCACTCGCTCTTCTTGTCAGTAATTAGACAAGTGAGATGATTTAATTTGCTGCAGAGCAGACACAGCTACTTCGACTGCTGATATGTAGAAAGCCACCAGCAGACTCTTTCCGGGTGATAATGTTTTGCTCACGCTGACAGAGAGAAGAATTAAATCACAGCTTTTAGCCTGTCTCACCCTCAAGCTCTTGTGATCAGCATCTTAAAGCTCATCCATCCATTTTCTATTATAAGCCCTTGAGAAAATAAGGTCTCCTCTCCTTAGTTTTCTCCATGTGAGATGCCAATGGAAGCCCTTCGTTGACAACTGCTTGAGGACAGACTTAATTCACACATCCTTGCTTGCTATGTGCAACTTTGGAAGTTACCCTGTCCTTCATTTTGTCTGACGCTAATGTCAGAAAGGGGTGTTGCTTGAAGTGAGCGATGATTTAGTGGTGTTATGTGTCCCTGACAGGTGCCAGCATGGATGTGGAGGATGAGCCACTGCTGTTCCAGACCAGCTGGGGAGGGGAGGAAGAAGAGGATGAGGGGGAGGAGGAGGAGGGGCAGGAGGAAGAAGATGGAGTAGCACAGGCAGCAGGACAGAGCTGTTTCTCTGGGGAGGTGTGTGGGCTGTGGAGGGCTTTGGGGTGGGTGTACACACAGCCCTGGGCCAGTGGAGTGGTTTTAGGGGTACTTGTCCTGCTACCATGTGCCCTGTTTGCCTTCATGCTCCTCTACTGCCCTCCTCTGGACATAGACCTCTCCTACAGTGCCTTTGAGGTCCACAGTCACTTCTCTGCCGAGCGCTTCGACGCCCTTGCCATAGCTGTAAAGACTCAGCTGGGTTCCTGGGACAGGCGTAGGCGAGACTTAGATAACAGCGAGTCTGAGGCCCTGCGGGAGCTTCTGCTGGAGAAGCTGGGCAGACAGGGAGTTTTCAACAGGACAGATAATGAGGGCATGAGGTCCTCCACTCGTCAAAACAACCCTTTACATGCAGGAGATGATCAGAGGAGGGGAGCGGCAGCGGGGAGAGATAAAATGACTGTGCCTGATTTGGGTCAGAAGGAAATGGGGAAGCACAAGAACTTAGATCACATAGCAGAGGAGTACGAGAAGAGATCATGGGATGGAAACTCCACTTTGTCGCTCATTAGGAGGCGCAGGTTTGCTCCCAATTACTACTTGCAGAGCCAGGCTCTGTGGAGGATCGAGCTGGTGTATGTGGCTCAAGGGGAGGGCGATCGCAACATCTTCACCCCAGAACGCCTGCAGACGATTCACCACGTGGAGCGGCTTCTCATGCAGCACCCGCAGTTTCACCAGTTCTGCTGGAAGCCTCTAGAGATGCTGAGGGATCTGCCACTGGGACCGTCCTACTGCTCACCACCCAGCTCCCTCCTGTCTTACCTCTACCCCAGTGAGAGAGGAGGGAAGATATACTATGATGGCATGGGCCCAGATCTTGCTGATATTCAAGGTGAGTCCACAATGAAGAAAGGGGAACAAAGAACAGCTTTCAAGCATAAAGGAATACCTGTAAAAGTCCTCCTAACAGTGACTGTATTCCCAGGTTCTCTCAAGCTGGCCATCACCCACCCACAGTTCTACTGGTACGTGGATGAGAGTCTGTCCCCTGAGCACCTCTCCTCCTCTCTCTTACGCAGTGAGATCCACTTCGGAGCTCCTCTTCCTTCCTACTACTCCCTGCAGGACCGGTCTGACGAGCAAAGATCTCGCTTCAAAAACTTTGTGGTTCAGTATGCAGGCATCCTGGCCAAGCAATCTACCAGGTCAGGAGAAAATTACTGCAGTATCGACCATTTATTACAGCACATTGTCATTCCATTCAGGGGTTGTTTTGCTGCATTATTTACGTGTACTACACTTTGTTGCAGTTGAAATGTGATTTTGTATCTGCTTCCCTCGTCCCCAGCCAGGTGAAGGTGCTGTATGGGGGAACAGAGCTGTTTGATGATGAGGTGAGACACACTTTCCACAATGACATGATGCTGGCGGTCATCAGCGGAGCCTGCATTACTGTGCTCGTCTATGTCCTTACCTCCTTTTCTGGTACAGTACAACCTGTTCCTTATTTTACTTGCATTGGTGTGTATACATGTGTTTGAACTGTCAAAGTCGGTTATTTGGTAGCATATGCACAATTACAAGCTCCTTGCTGTTTTCTTGCCTCTCTGCAGTGTTTCTAACTTTCTTCGGACTCACTAGCATCGGACTGAGCTGCTTGATGGCTCTTTTCTTATACCATGTTGTCTTTGGTGTGAGGTACCTGGGCATTCTCAATGGAGTTGCAGCCTTTGTCATTATTGGCATTGGTAAGGGAAAAGCAATCCATCAACTTCTTCATAAATGGAACAGTTTGACATTTTGGGAAATACACGTATCGGTTTTCTTTCTGAGAGTTAGATGAGTAGATCAATACCACTTTCATGTCTGTATGTTAAAGATGATGCATAGAGCCAGCAACTGGTTACCTAAGCTTACTGTAGTATAATGAGTGCAAGCAGGAGAAAACAGCTAGCATCGCTCTGTGTAACGGTGACAAAATTCACCTACCAGCGACTCTAAAGCAGCAGCACACAAACCCCTGCAAAACAACAACCACCAGCAGCCAGTTAGTTAAACTAATATACTTTACATAAACATATCGGGTACTGTACAGAGGTGACTGTCATTAATCTTCTTCTAATGTGTTTTTCCCAAAATTTTAAACTATTCCTTTAAAGGTCGAAAAAAACAAAAAACTTTTTACAGTGCATTTACTATAATATGTGATAAGGCATCTCTTTTGTTCTCTCACTGTTGTTTAGGCGTGGATGATGTCTTTGTGTTCATCAGCACCTTCAGACAGGCTTCTCATCTGCACCAGCCGCAGCAACGGATGATCTACACAATTAAAACAGCTGGCCGAGCTACTTTCCTCACCTCCTTCACCACCGCAGCTGCCTATGCTGCTAACACCTTCTCCCAGGTAATCATAAGAAGAGGAATGCAGCCGTTAAAAGGAACTGTACAGGATGTATAAATGAGTCCCCTGCTATGGATGAATAGGAGTGCCTCTCTCAGCAGACAGCCATTTTCATGCGATAAGCACAAATTGAATGTTTCAAGGTCCTTTACACTGTGCTTCGTTTAACTGACACTTAGATCCCAGCCGTGCATGACTTCGGCCTATTCATGGCCCTCATTGTCAGCTGCTGCTGGCTTTGGGTATCCGTCCTGATGCCTGCCGCCCTTTGTGTCTGGACTGAGTGTGTGGAGCCTCAGGAACGTGCCTGGTTGAATTGGTGAGGCGTCATTTCCTAACGTTTTGTGTGTGATGTTGTTTGTGCATGCTGCGTGACACCACGGACGAGATGTAATCCCTTCAGCTGTCTCTCTCCCTAAACTTCCTCCTCCTTCTGAAGCTCGAAGCTATTTTCCGGCCTGTCAGCAAGCCACAGCCCTTTGTCAGATGAGGATGACGATGTGGCCCTTCTGTCAGTGGAGATGGAGCCAGGTGAGATTATTATCTCCCCAGCATTGAATGAATGATGGGGGGGGGGTAATGGGAAAGGGATTGAATCCAGGCTGTAAAACTCTGCTGTGCAGGCACCACTAAGCCCCTGTCTCTGTCTGGGCCAGGCTCCTGTGACACAGACGGCGATGCAGCCATTCTTTCCCTGTCAGTGGAGACACCTCTGTCCCCTCCAGGGCAGCAGCATGAGGGTGTGGTGAGCACAAATCTCCAGTGGGCCCTGAAGCACTTAGTGGCAGAGCCAGCTGTGGAGCGACGAAAAGCTGTTCTAGGTGAGATTTGATATAAACTAGAAACTCACAAGCATTTTGACACGGCAAAGCTCAATTTATATTCAAGAACTTCAACTTAACAAGATCAGGGAGAAACGTCTATGTATCTGTCAAGCTCTTGATCAATGATTTAGACATGAGAGTGACTTGCAGCTCAAATGAGAACTGTGGAGAAATGTAGTAATCTCTGTCCGGCCTGAGGGGATTTAATCTGTCAGAGGAAGAGCAATCGCTTATCATCATCGTATTCATCGTCCCTCTTTTCAGGAGTAACTGTAATTGATCCTTGTTCCTCATCTGTCCCTCAGCTGCTCTATCTACTCCATCAGACCCTCCTCTCTGCCATTGTTTATCATTGTCTCTCTGTCGGCCCAGGTGTCTTCCTCCTGGTTCTGCTCTTATCTGCTGGGTGCTGCTGTCTCCTGAGGCCGGCCACTCACGCCCCCCTTCTTTTCCGCCGGGACACAAACCTCCAGGCTCTGTTGGCTCTGAGGAGCAACCTCAGTGGTCAAGGCATCTCCTGCCCTATGTGCTCAGGTGAGACTGTGGCAGTGGTGGAAACACTCACCTGTTAACCTCAGAGATGCAAAATAAATATCTGAAATGTGTCCTGCAGGTGTGTTCATGGAAAAGCCCCACCCTTTGTACAACCACTCTTCCTCGTCATCATTTAAGTTTTCTACACATCAGCAGACCCCGAGCACAATGACCTCCACTGCTCCTCAGAGCTCGGTAAAACCAAATTCAAGCACCAACCAAACAGGTAAAACATTCCGCACGTAACAATCCTCTTCCTCCTTAATGTAAACCTGGTTTCAAAACTTTTTTGAAATATTGCACTTTGTACTTTTTTAGGCTCTTTACTTACAGTGTACATATCAAAGTTGGACCTCAGAACATCTACAACCCTTTACCGCTTCTCCCTTAACACCAGCACTCCTTCCCCGTGGAAACTGTGCAGCACAGAGCATGAAGATGTTTCATCATTTCAGGTTAGAGAGCAAAAAAACTCAACTTGATAATTTATTTCATATAATCAGTTGTAACTTTATGTCCCCCAACAGTGATATGTGCCAGTTAAGCAGCTTATAACTAATCTTGTTTTATCTGAATAGGCTTATAATCAGCCCAGCAGCAATTACACCACCAGACTGACAGTGTGTGTTTCCCGTGTGTACCACCCGTACCCCAGCTGGATGATCACATCCGCTTCATGTGACCCCCGTCATGGCTGGACGGCAGAGTTTTCCTTTTATGCAGCATCGTCTCCGCAGCAGCACAGCAGGTAAAAGGACAAATGAGGAAATCGGAGTTATAAAAATTAAGATGAACTTGTTTTAGTGGAAAATCTCCTATTTCCACTTTGCTTTCTCCTCTTAGGAGACTGTACTTTTCCCAGTGCCGTCTGAGACCTCATCCCAGCCGAGTGTGTGTCAACCCGCCTGGCTGCGGCGTCAGTTCTGGGCCTGATGGACCCACACAGGGAAGCTTTTATATTCCTCTCCCCAGTGGTGAGCGAGCTAGTGTCAGAAAGCATCATTAACATGAAGACGGTTTGTTAGCCCATCAGGAAAACTGTTTTCGCACTGCATGTGTCACATTGCTGAAATGTCTTTTTTATGTCATTTATTTTCGTAGACAGAGAATATGCAGTGATATGAAGTGTTATGACACTTTTTTCAGACTCTCAATCTCTGAACACACTAGGGGATTTTTCTACAGTACTCCAGTTGTTCACATACTTTCGCAGTATATGAATAAATGCTATTTAGAGATTTTTCCCTGATTCTATTTTCAAAGATCTGTCATCTTCTGCCAAAGCAAAACCATCCAAAACGTTTGGCTTCAACCCATGCAGCGGTGGTGCATGTGGCCAACCAGCGGTGCGTCCTCTGGTCGACACCGGGGCGATGGTCTTTGTTGTGTTTGGCATCTTGGGAGTCAACCGAACCGAACACAGGGACAACCATGTTATTGGAGATATGGTGAGGCTCGCACCTGTGTCAATATGACTGAATAATTAACAGAAATAAATCAGATCCAGATATTAAAATAACATTCACATGTGGTTAATGTGGTGTTTGATTCTCTCCAAAGGGCAGCATTATTTTGGATCCAGACTTTGATATTTTCCAAGAAATGGGGCATCTTTGCAAAATCTGTAAAGCTATTAGTGCAAACAGACAACTTGTGAAGCCAGGAGGAGCGCAGTGTTTGCCTTCAGGTAACACTCAAATTCAATTCAGAGTGAAATCTTTTATTTTAGCATAAAATATCACAAAACAATGACATAAACCTCACGGAGCTGAAAGGGGTTTTTAATTACTTAATTAGTTATTGATAAACAAAAAAATGTCTGATCAATTTTATTGTTAAAGTAATTTTTTAAACAGAAGTTCCAGCTTCTCAAATGTGAATATTTGCTTCTTTTATAGCAACTTAATTATTTTTGGGTGTTGGATTGCTGGTTGGATAAAACAGGACATCTGATGTTAACTTTAGGTTTGGGAAAATGTGATTTCTCTTGATCAGCAAATCAGCAGATTAATCGATAATGAAAATAATCAGTAGTTGCAGCCATAAAACCTTATTTATATAGCACAAAACTGTGATGTGCTTTAACAATGAGGTAAAAAAAAAAACACGCAGCAAAAAGGTAAAATATGAAATTAAATTCTGATCAAATAATCATATATATATATGTATATATAGAGGATGAAAGTGAGTTAAAGAAAAGTCCTTTCTTTTGTTCTCTTCAGGTAATAAACTGTCCTCTATTCTGCCTCTGCTCCATCCTGAGTGTCACTCTCTACCTGAACCAAACCTGCTCCCGGGGCAGCTCTCCCATGGAGCGGTGGGAATGCATGGAGGCAAGGTCCGCTGGCTGTCCATGGCCTTTGAGTCTGTAAGTGCCTTCCTCTTTCAGATTTTCATCTTCCTGCATCACAGAGCAGCACTTTTCCGCTTCACTTTCAGTTCGTGCCGTGCCTAATGCTCTACCTCTCTTCTCCCAAGACCACATACAAGGGGAAATCCTCCTTTCAGACCTATTCCGACTTCCTTCAGTGGGAGAACTTCATCCGGGAGCAGCTCGCCTCCCTCCCGCAGTCCTCCGCTCTGCAACGGGGTTTCCAGACCTGCGAGCACTGGAAGCAAATCTTCATGGAAATCATAGGCAAGTGAGGTGGCAATGCATGTTGAAGAGATCTGTTTTTTTCTTCTGCAAACTGAAGAGGGAGAGGGAGAGCAGCAGCATGTAAATATCTGATAATCTACCGCTCTCTGGTCTGTTTGTAGGTGTGGAGAGTGCCCTCTGGAGTCTGCTGCTGTCCCTGGCCATCTGTGTGGCAGCTGTGTCTGTGTTTACTGCACATCCTTTGCTGCTGCTGCCAGTACTCATAACCATTCTAGGTAAGAGATGAAGTTGCATATTCATGTTTGGAAGTGACTTTTAATGAATTTCTAAAATTGAATAATCAGGCCCGGTTCAGGATCATGTGTGTGATTACTGGTTTTTGGCCTTCAACAGGAGTGATCTGTCTGGTGGTGGCAGTTATGTATTGGCTGAGCTGGGAGATGGGAGCAGTGGAGGCGATTTCTCTGTCTATACTGGTGGGATCTTCAGTGGATTACTGTCTGCACCTGGTGGAGGGATACCTGCTGGCCGGGGAGACATTGCCCTCAACGCCTGGTCATAATTCGGTATGGCAGTGTAAATTTGTTTCACAGCAGCAATTATGAAAAACTTCCACAGCATGTTTTCTGTTTACACACATGCTGAAACAAACTAATGACTTAGATTTGGGATTTAATAAGGCGAGAAGCGGCCTGAAGGCTCATAAATCAAGAGGAGCAGCTCCTAGTAAACTGTGTTTTGTTTGCAGGAGCCTTCGGCAGAGAGGCAGAGGCGGACTCTGCAGGCAGTGAACCATGTTGGCGTTGCCATAGTGTCCAGCGCCATCACCACAGTGATCTCCACAGTCCCTCTCTTCTTCTGTGTGATTGTGCCTTTCGCCAAGTTTGGCCAGATAGTGGCCATTAACACCGCCGTCTCCATTTTGTTCACCCTGACCGTGACTGTGGCCATGCTGGCGTGCATGGCCCCCGCTCGCTTCAGCAGACCCCCCGGCGCTGTGTTGAAGGCCAGCCTGGCCGTGATGGCGGCGACAGCCTTGGGAGCAGCTCTGTGCTGGGTGGGAGGACAACTGGGAGCGTTGGCCTGGCAAACAATCAGCACGTAACCTCAACCGTTTGCCAACTCACACTGATGTCAGGCAGAGGAGTTCCTCTGTATGCAAAAATAAAATCTGTAAGCACTATTTTCCTCCCTCTTTAGGAGGAATATCAGATCAGTAAACGATCTTGTACTTTACAGCACAAAGATGTCAGAATTTATTCCATAAGTAGAAGCTGTTTGTCATCACAAAATACATCATTTCACTTGAATTGATCAGTGGATTGTAAGTATTACCCATTAGGGACCTCTTTAAATATAGTGTAAATGATTATGTGACTTGAACATTTGGGTTGACATGATGATTCAGCTGAGTTTTTTTTTTTTCTCGATCCGATATCACCTTCAGCCCTAGAGGTGGAGATGATGAGAACCACTGGCTGAGTCCCAGTTTTCATCAGAGTGTAACTTATTGAGTTGTGAAGAGCCACTGACTGTTCTGTGACCTGCTGTTGTGAACACTGTCAGGGCGTTGCGCTCTGACGTGTGTGAAGATTAATGTTACTGATTCACATGATTCATGGCCATCTTGTGAAACATCACTTTTGTGTTTTCTTAGCTGTGCACTGAATGTGTTTTCAGCCACATTTGTAACAAAAGGTTATGATGTCATAATGTGGCTGGATTAAAAGTTGTATTAGTCAAATGTATACTGTGCACAGTTTTGTTAAATGTGATGTAAATGTTTCAGTATGCTGCACTCACACATTCTGAAGTAAATCTCTGATGCTGCCAGCACACACTTGTTCTGAAGGGTTGTGCATACCAACACTCAAGACATCATTTCTCTTTTTTGATCCTTTCACATGTTTCTATCTTAGATCTCAAACTGCATTACGGTCTCTATTGTTGTCATCAGCACCAATTGAAAGAGACCTCTTGTCGGGTCCTCGGGTGTAACCTCCACACGCCCTCCATCACACTTGTAGGCACTCACTGTAACCAACTCTGCTCCCTCCTCTGCTCTCACACAATTTAGAGCACCACTCATACACCCATCTACGCCGGCTTCGGTCTGCCCTGTAGTGCAGGTGGGGCCATTTGTCAAACCACATAACACATTAATGGTCAGGGACTGGGACTGACTCAATTGCGGCAAGAGCAGTAAATTTTTGTTTTGTGTATGTGGTACTTGTGAATGTCAAATAAAACAGCTGCAGAAAGCCTTGGGTCTTTTCTTCTGTGAAAGCTCAGCATGGTTTTCTTCTGCATTGTTATGTAACAAAGCAGCAGGGCAGGATGAAGACCTGTCACTGTTTCTGGGAGAGCTACAGTCGACATCGTCACATCTCTGGCTGGCTAACGTTAATTATTCATATGAAATGGTTCAGATTTTACACTGAATTGCAGGGCATCAATGTTTCATGTCTGCCATTAAACAAAAGGAAGTTGTTCTACATACAGCGGTGTATGAAGGAAACCGATATATGAAGATAAAAACAAATACTTTGAGTACAAGCAGAAAAACCTTGGCAGACTGTTCTGTAGGGTCCTTATTTGATGAAGCAGCAGGACCAAATTTAATATGCTATAGTAGAAAAAGAAAATAGGTGTGTTATCAATTGACAGTGGAGGAACTTCTATAGAGTTTGAATGCCAGTGTAACATTTGTTTAAAAGTGAAGAGGAGACAATTTTTTAGTATGCTTCTTATGTGGAGATCACATTTCCTTCAAATAACAAGTATGTGCATAAAGAAATAATTTAACAAGGGTAAGATGTTATGTTTCAACAGTCCGCACTTACTGGAGCAAAGATACTGCATTTCTTTCAATGTAGTTTCTACGTTAATGTTTTTATTTGTGTTGGTTCCTCTATGCCTAAATGAGTGCGAGTTCACTGTATTTACTATTGACTAAAAAGACACAGGACACATTTCAATCTGATACAGACACGTGTAGTAAAGTTACACAGTCAGATTACAAGAATCCAAAATATGCTGAATATGCTAAATGATACCAATCAAAAAAGTGGGATGAGTATGTGAAATTCAGATTTCATCGAAAGCAAACATGTTTATGTAAAAAGGTACCTGCATCTTTCGTGAATGTGAAATATGTCTTGATCCTATTAAAGTGTTTGTCTGAAATGTCTCAGCCAGACTGCAGTCTCGTTACATCTGCATGTATTTTGCAGGACATAATTTTGGGATAAGTAGTTTGAGGGCCAATTTCAGTTGTGCCAGTTGTCTGTGAAACAACTCTGCTCTGCTCCTTGTGTTTTTATAAAAAAAAGCACAACAGAATAGTAATGGAAAAATTACTGAGGGAGTGTGAGGTTACATGTAGGGGAATGGATATTTAGCACGGTGGAAAAGGAAATGCTTTCCTACTAGAGTCTGAAATGACAAGCTCCATCTATAAATAGTGACTCAAAGATTAGATGAATCAAGGACATTTATATATGGCTTTGTTGTTAGCTAGATGTGAAATATTCATCTGAAACATATTTCTAGTGTGCAATTTAAGTCCTCACTTCTGTTTTACTCTCATGTCCTGGATTGCACTCAACTGGCAACTCAGTCAGCACAATGCAGGCTTGACTGAAATGGCACAAAACACGTTTACAGTTAGAGTCAATATTGTGAACAAAGGTCACACATCAAACATGCGTGTCCGACTGCTTCAGCGTCATACAAAGTTATTTTCATAGTGCTGAGTGAGAAATAAATGGAGAAAAGGAATGAGTGAGCAACATAGTGTATTCAACATAAACCAATGGCTACACATTAGAAGGCAATTGTAGGGCTAATTTCAACAGTACCTTTTCACCATTACATCATCTATGTACTTACTATAACAATAAATACCCGGGCTCATTTGGTTCTTGAGAAATACTTCATTGTACCAAGAAAAGGCATTTTCTCTGGAGAGAAATTATTTTACATCAGAACTGTAAATCAACACTGAAACATTGGTCATCTCTTTATTACCCCGTGTCACAGGGCACACACAATGTTCAAGTATGCCTGAGGAACTAAATGAAGCAATAAAAAAAAAAAAAAAAAAAAAAAAAAATGAATAAGAGATAAAATGCATTTAAAAATAAGTGAACTGGCATTGCATTTCACAAAAACTCATAAGCTCATGATTTTGGAACAATTCACTGTAAAGTGCTAATTAGTTCGAGCTGACAAAAGCACATGTTCCCTTTGAAAGATCATACACATTACTTTATACATGGAGGTACAGTAATAGCCAGTCATCAGGCAAGCAATTACCAACCAGAAGACATGGACCACAATTCATTTATTAGTCCTTTAATAAGATAACTGCTTCCTTAATTTCCTTGTTAATGGTAACAATGAGAATCTTGCCACTGGTTGCCAGGACAATTCCAATTACAAATGCTGGTGTCACTGTACAGTTTTCTTTTGTTCCTTGTAATTACATGCAATTGACTGACATACAGTATCAAAATCTCAAGTCAAGTCCTCCCAATCCTCTTACAGATAGGAATCCTTGAACCAAAAGGGAGGAGAGTGTAAAGAGAGGCGAGCAATTATTGAGTGTAGGACACCTTCCCATACTCCTCTTTCTCTCCTCCCCCTGGATGAGGCAGGTTGGCCTGACAAAAGCAAGGATCTGTCCAGCTGATGACTGCCTTCCCACAGGTCCTGAGAATCCACTGTGTTCCTTTGAGCCTCTCATCAAGAGGCATGTTAAAAAATAAAAACAGAAATAAGAAAAAATATCTGGAGGGGACTGGGTCAATAAATTTTCCCCTACTGTCCACCTAAAGCGGACGTTCATCCTCCCACCCCAATCCTAATCATAGAAAGGTAAAAACAAGGTGTACTGCAGAATGGCTTTACTCCTCACAGTCTGTGGGGGGAGCTAGAGCCCCTGGGAGCTGAGGTGCGGTTGGTGGTCTTGCGGCTGTTCTGTCGTGTCTGATTCATCTTGTTGGCCGAAGGTTTCCGAGCGTCAGGCTTGCGCCTCCCCTGGGGGCCCCTCTGTTTGCCCCTTTGCCCCGCACGGCCCCTTCCGGCCCCCGCTTGTCACTTGCGTGAGTGCAGTGTGTCCTGGAACTTGGTGCTGGTGTAGCGGACGTGAAATCCTTTTTTGTTGATTGTATCGTCAGAGCGGAACTTGATCACAATGGAGTCACCCGCCGAGTAGATCTCCTCTGGAGGCTGGCAGGAGGAACAAAACAGATTCATTTGTGCTGTTGCTTTCTGGTTCTTTGACTGCACTTCAATTAAAACTAAAGACTTCTCACATGCTGAAACTGAAGTCAAATCAGTGACCATGACGAATGGCTTCTGACTGCTAGTTCTTTAACAGCCAGGGGCCACATAAGGGTCCGGGACCAGGACTGGCCCTTTTAGGCTTTATTCTGAATAAGGGTTTGGCTGCTATTGAAGTGAGGATAAAATAGAATCTGATGATTAGTTCCAGGTGCACAACTCCACACAAGCCATTTCTTCCCAGAACAAAACCATACACCACACTTTTTATTTCTACTGTCTTGAGTATAATGTCAGCCAAACTGTTTCCAATGGAAAAAAAGGGGAATTTATCTGCATTATGTAAGCACAGAAAATATGCAACACTTGGCCTGGCATTTTGTCACAATAGTACTATTGCATGAATATTAATTTGGAAAGTCAAACTGAAAAATAATTAGTTGGTTGAGGTGCTCAGGCAGCTGCAGTGGCTATGACAAAGACAAGCGCTGCGATGTCAGAGCAGTCCATGCTTGTGCAACCAACTGTAAAACACCAGACTGTTGATTAAAGCTGCCATTCATAACATGAATAATATATCTACAATAGCCCATAGGACTTGGTTTATTGGGTAAGGAATTTAAAACACAAGAAGAAAGTAGACTACAAATTTTATTGTAGACCTAGCAATGTGTAGTCTAGTATTTAACTGAGAAAAGCCCTTGGGCTAAATGTAAGCCTCCTCACACTATAATGAGTTTTCACCCTACTTTAGAGTGAATTGTGTCAGTTTATTTTGACCTGTTTTATAAAAGGAAACTTGATTGAGGAGCTGTTCCTTGGGGTGCTGCGGGTGTTATGTCCCCTCCAGCGAATGATTCGTAGGAACAGGCGTGAGTAGAAGGCCAGAGCTCATTATTGAAGTGTGTAAATGAGATCAAGCTGTTCTCTGACCTAAGGAAAGTTGTGTTTCTATTCCCTGCTGGCCTCATTGTTCCAGACTCCGTCTGCAGCCTCAGGATTGGCTGATAAATTTGCAGTTACAACTCAACGCCAGAGACTCTGATAGGCTATCAGCACCCAGGGAGAGTGACTGTTTGTGTCGACCCATAACCGCCTCCAAGCAGCAACACTCCCAAACCCAGAGGAACACGCCAACTTTAACAAAGTGATTAAAGTCGGACTGGAATCAAAAGCCCCAGGGAAGTTCACAAAGTCACTCTTTTATAAACCGCTGGCAAAGGTTACTCAACAACAGTGCTAATTCCAAAACTATTGCCTGAATACTCCTGCTGTTATACTGTAAGACTAAAAAGTGCCAGTTATCTTTGTCAAAAAAAATATGAGACATTCAGACAGTAGGGGTTGTTGGAAAAATGTTCTTACCCCTGAGCCACAGTAACGTCCCAGCCTTGGAGACTTTGTGTCGGCTCCATCGAAGAGCTCCATGTAGTCATAGCCGCAGTCCGCCTCCTCCTCAATCTCAAAGGTCTGGAAGATGAGCTCCACGCCGTAGCCTTTCTCCGCAGAGATCACCCACTGACAGTCAGATGCCCCGGGGTAGTTATTGTCCCCAAACTGAGCATGGGAGAACAGGTCCTTGGTTTTGACTTCAGCCTTTAGGCGACCTCCACACTCTGAACAGAAAAGTTGAGTTGGACATTTTTGTAGGCAGTGTTGATAAGCTATAAGTGCAGCTGCTGTGGTTATTGGTCTCTGGCTCACTTGTGGTTTTACAGTCATCCAGATACAAAGAATTCTTAAAACACGCTCTGTTGTTACATATGAGTCATAATCATTCTCAGACAGGGTGGTGAATTTTGTGCAAAACTAACTCATGTGCATTGCATCAAAAATCTTTGTGAAGTCTAAAATGACGAATTGAATTAACTTGATCCCCCCAAAACATGAATGTTTAAATATTTTACTGCAATTGCGTCCTTTCTTCAGCAGGAAGAGAAAACGAATACTGCATACATTCTTACCTGCAGTGTGG